CTTTGGAGGAGGGCATGGAAATCCACTCCAGTATTCTGGCCTGGAGAATCCCATGGACAGAGGAGCCTGGCGGGCTAGTCCATAGGTTCATGAAGAGCTGGACAGAACTGAAGCACCTGAGCATGCACAAGCCAGGTCTGGCCAATGAGAATCCCTGTGATTGGTTCAGGTTTGGGTGCCTGACCAGAGCCGGCCAGTGTGGGTTTGCCTGGGACTTTTGCTTGAGAAAGAGGCTCTCTCTGGGGTCTGGGTTTGCTGAGCCGATGGAATGCTGCTGCGGTGCCCATGTCTGACTCCATGGAGGGAAAACGTGCCTGTGTGTGGAGCTGGCACAGAGAAAGCAGTGATGAGAGAAGGAGACAGATTCCTGATATCTGAGTGACCTGTTTTAGACATACTTCTGGGTAAGTCAAGAATTTTTCCTCCTTTGCATAAGCTCCTTTGAGTTGGTTTTCTGGCATTTACAACCACTAATCCTGACACAAAGAATATAATAGCAACAGCAATAACTATCTATGAGTACATATTCAATATCGAGCACCAACGTTGGTTGGCAGCCGTCTGTTCACCAACTGGCATTGATATTGATTAGCTTTGCTGGCATTGGAGTTCCCTGGTGGTTTGGTAGCTAAGAATCCACCTGCCAATGCAGAGGTCCTATCCCTGGTCTGAGAAGATCCCACATGTCACGGGGCATCTAAGCCCGTGTTCCACAACTACTGAGCCTGCACTCTAGAGCCCGTGCTCCCCAACAAGAGAAGCCACCACAATGAGAAGCCTGCACCCCACAACTAGAAAGTAGCCCTTGTTCACCAGCAACTAGAGAAAGCCCATGCATAGCAACCCAGCACAGCCCCCCCCAAAAAAAAATTATAGATGTAGATTTGCTGGCACAAAATGATGAAGTCAACAGACTTATGGCAATTTTGATTATTATTTTAAAGTTCTCTATGGACGATTTTCCTCTGTGGTGGGCATGGAAAGCCCTTTCAAGGAAGGACTTGGGGGGATGGGGGAAGTGGCTGGCTGTCAGCTCCTATGGGATCTCCTGCCGTTGCAGAATTTGCCCCAGGCTGCCTCTGCCCAGAGCAGCCTCCATGTGGTAGCTGAACACGGCGGGAGTAAAGGTGGCCATTTCAGCTCAGTGGGGGACAACTCTGACCACAAGTCTGTCTCCAGAGTCCCTTTTGGGACTGATAAAGTCCTGCTGGGCCTCCACCACTGACTTCTCCTTCTCCCCGGTCGGGCTTCTCTACGTTCATTTCACTGGTGTGCATCCTTAAAAACATCTTGTACCCCTAGCTCTGTCTCAGTCTCTGCTTCTGAAGAACCTATTCTGTGACCAGCCTTACTACCTGCACCTGGAGTGGGCAGGACTCCTTGCCTCTCCCCACTGGGTGTGCCGTTCCCAAGCACTGGGCCTGTTTATCCTCTCAGCTCACTCTTAGTTCTCCCATTTTATGGATGAGGAAACTAAGACTCAGAAAGATGAAGACTTGCCTAAGTGATCAATTGTTCACTGTGACTAGAAAATGCTGAACCAGAAGGTGGAGCCAGATCACCTTTATATCACTATGTTTGCTACTGTCAAAACAAAACCAATCCCTTTATTTCAAGGTGTCAAGAAGTTTAGCAACCATTGGAGGAACATGTATTTGAAGGCTGTGACCGAACTTAATCATTTTTAAAGTCAAAAGCAGGTTCTGGCCAGCATTTTCTATAAAGAGCTAGGTAATACATATTTCAGGCTTTGAGGACCATATGGCCTCTGCTGAAACTATTCAGCTCTGCAACTGTATTTCGAAAGCAGCCAGAGGCAGTATGTAAATGAATTGGCATCATGGCGTGCCAATAAAACTTTATTTACAAAAACTATTTGCAAAAACAGGCAATGAACAGAAAGAGACAAGCATTCATATTTGGACTGAAAGTTAATATAGCTTGCTTGCTCCAGCCCTAGACAATCAATAAAACAATTAAGCTTTAGTTTGCAGCAGTGTTGAATTCTGTGATAAAAGGACTCCTTATGGCCAGTTACAAACTGCTAACAGAAGGTAGTTTGAACTTGGAGTTGAGAACCATACGTGCAGTAATATATCACACAGAAAAATAGACAAAAGTCTAGGTAGTACTAAAATGTAATAAAATTGGGAATTCCCTGGAGGTTCAGTGGTTAAGGCTTTGTGATGTTACTGCTGAGCACCCTGGTTCAGTCCCTGATTGGGGAACTAGAATCCCATAAGCTGTGTGGCAAGAAAAAAAAGATGAAAATGTAGTAAAATAAATAATTAGGAAGTGATGAGATTTGAACATTTTTTATCTTTGTTTTTATGAGTTTAGTTGTAAGTGTATATTAAACTTTTTTCTGCTTTTTAAATGTAATTTTTTAATATACATAATTTAATTTTAAGTAATCTGGTGTCTTAAAAAAAAGTCTCCTAAACTTCCTGAAGAATTCACAATGGGCTCTCCTGAGCCGGTGGGAACTGCTGTGTGAGGTGTGTAGGAGGCAGGAGGCCCCCCATGGCCAGGGAAAGGGCAAAGGCCATCAGTGGCCCTGGAGGAGGAGGAGCTGCTATAACATCAAGGCCCAGCGCACATCAAAGAGGTTTCCTCTTTCCTCTCTGGCCAAACAACTATGACGTCAGTCGCTCCAATATTTGCGTAAACTGAGGGTGAAGTTACTCAAGATCAGCCATTGATCCCTTCCAGACTGAACCTGTGACCCCATCATCCAGAGTCCCTAAACTTTTGAACATCTGCTATCCTTCAGCTTGGAAAGCTGACTTTCATTCTTCACAAGGATAACAGAAGAGTTAGCTTTGGCCTTCAATTTGCTGTGTTGCCTTCAGTATATTGCTTAATCTCTCTGAACTGCCTTTCTCTATATCTGAATAGTAGGGAGAGCTGTGGTGAGTCTCTGGTACCTACAGGGATAGGAGTGACTATGTGTCCAATGCTTGGCATTTAATGTAACAGCCTTATGAGGTAGGTGTTATTGTTATACATATTTTACAGTTAAGGAAACTGAGACTCAGAGAAGCTAAGTGGTTCATACTAGTAAGTGGTAGAGTTGGGATTCATTCTGTCTACTCCAAGTCCAAATTTCTCATTTATTTTTTTCTGGTGTGTCTCCCTGCATCTGGAGATCTCCAAGATTTTTACAGTGATAGGAGTCTGAGAAATCATTAGTTCTGAAACTTGAAACCCAAATGCCCTAGAAGCCAGGAGAGTGACAGAGAAGAGACAAGAGCCGGGTGGGATTGTGGAGTCACAGGTTCACGTCTTGGCAACAAGGACAGTGATTATTCAGCTTCAGCCATTTATCCCTGGCAGGAATGTCGGCCCAGTTTCACAAGATTTTGTTCAAGAGAAGCTGAAAATGTGAATTTTTATGTGAAACCCATTCATTTAAAAATTGCTTTGTTTTTGGGAACTCCCTGGCAGTCCAGTGGTTAGGATTCCATACTTTCACTTCTGAGGGCCTGGGTTGAATCCCTGGTCTGGGAACTAAGATCCCATAAGCCTCGCAGTGTAGCCAAAAAACAAAAATGAAAAAACTTAAACACCTTGGAGTTCAGCCTGTTGGTTTACAGATGCAGGAACTGAGGGTAATTGACTTCCAGTTCCCAGGAGGCTAGGGCAGATGGAAAATATGGAAGATTTGCAGAGTCCTGGAGGCTGGCAGTATGATTGTGACGCCCCAGGTATTGTAGGTAGCTCTTAGGTCTTTATCTCAATTCCATCTCTCCTGGCCTCCTCCTGAAATGAAAATGAGAAAGACATGGATGTCTGGAAGAGGCAAACAGTTTAAGTTCTCCTAGATCTCTGCAGCTTCGTAAAGCAAAGGCTCTCTTGCTTGCCTATGGCCACCGCAGGTAAGCTGAACCTGCAGAACAATCGGAATGGGGAAAGAGCAGATTATTCTCCCTGTTGGTTCCCTTAGAATCCTTGATTCAACACTCACCTGGACTTCCCTGCCAGTCCAGTGGTTAAGACTCTAAGCTTCCAATAAAGGGGTGCGGGTTTGATCCCTGGTCAGGAAACTAAGATCCCATGTACTGTGTGGTGGGGATGGCCCCCAAGCCCCCACCCCCAGACAAACAAGACCCCCCAAATGAGCAAAAATCCCACTCACTTAGTCAAACAACTGAGGCTAAGCCTCAGTCCACGTCCTCTGAGTACTAAGTACGTGGGACACACAGGTAAACATGCATTAAGGATACAGATGGAAATGCACTAAACAGTCCAGCTCTGAGGTGGGTCAGAGAATGAATTTCAGTAGAGGTGATATTTGAGCTGGATGGATCTCAAAGGAGAAGCTAAAACCAGCCTGCCCTGAGATGATGTTTCAGTGAAGGAATCTGCTGGTGCTAAGACCCAGGGCTAAGAGAGACTGAGCAATAAATAAATGGGACAGAAACTGCTATCAATTTAGGGTGGCTGGAAATCAGTTTATCTCTGTGTGTTGGAGATGGGCTAGGGGTCAAAAGGCAAGGAGGGATCAGAAGGGTCTTGAAAGATAAGAGAAGGTGCTGGAAAGCCATTAAAAGCTTTTAAGCATCAGAGTGACAGTGTTGTTCTTTGGGTTGGTTATTCTGGCTGCTGCGTAGAGAATGGATGAAAGGGACAGCTAGAAGCTGAGACAAATTCAGAGCCCTCAGAAATCTGGGGTGATGGCATGGGAGCAGAGGTGGAGGCGATGGAATGGCTTTGAGAGCTATGAAGGCAGCAGAAGGGAAAGGATCTACACCATTATAATAAAAGCATTGACAATAACAGCATAATGTAGGGACTTAAACAATAGCTCTGGTTTCTGAATGTAAAGGTGAGAATCTTTTCCCCTCCCTTTTTTTGGGAAAAATTTCAAACCTCAGAAAAATTGCAAGATAGTTTCTGTGAACACCCAATATGCCCTCACTGAGATTTACCTACTGTCACATTTCGCCGCTCTTTTTCTCTGTGTCTCTGCTTTTATACATACAGAGATGTATACATACATGTTTGTATGCATAGCTTTTTTCCTGAACCACTTGCAAATTTGTTTCAGAAACCATGATACTGTACCTCTAAACACTTCAGCATTCATCTCTTTTGAATAAGGAGATTTTTCTAACATATTCACAATACCATTAACTTCCTGAGGAAATTTAATATCAATATACTGTAATGGAGAAGGAAATGGCAACCCACTCCAGTGTTCTTGCCTGGGACATCTCATAGACAGAGGAGCCTGGTGGGTGACATACAGTCCATGGGATTGCAAAGAGTCAGACATGACTGAGCACACACATACACACACACACATATACACCTTAATATAAAGTCCATATTCAAATTTCATCAGTTGTTCCAGAAATGTCTCCTAAAGCTGCTGTGTTTTTAATTTTATTTTAAAAAATTCAAAGATTATGTGTTGCAGTTATTGTGTCTCTTTTGTCTTTTCTTTTGTCTCCTTTCTTTTTTTGCATCAATGTTAGAAATGTTTATTTAAAAGCAATAATTAAGGTGAGAGTTCCCTGGTGGATGAGGGGTTTAGGATTTGGCACTTTCATTGCCTCATGGTGCGCAAAAAAGAAAAATGGTGATTAGGTAATTGAACAAAATGTAGGAGGCCTAATGTAATTGGTTCTACTTTTTTCTATGTAGAGATTATTTTAGCAACATTTTATTTTGAAATAATTTCAAACTTACAGAAACATTGCAACAATAATACAAAGAATGTTCCTATATGTTTCACCCAGAGTCACCAGTTATTTATACTTTGTCACATTTACCTTTTCATTCTCTTATCTACAAATATATATACAGATTTTTTTTCTGAACCATTTGAAAATAAGTTGCTCCTCTTGCCCCTAAATACTACAGGGTGTATTTTCTAAGGACACTATCTTAAATAGCCCAATGCAAGTATCAAAATCAGGAAATTTAACTATATTTGGTACTAATATAGTTATATTAATATATACTACTGTATATATTAATATATACTAATATAATAACTAAATTTGGTACTATATTACCCATATTAAAATTTCCCCAACTGTGCCAAGGATGTCTTATAGTCTTTTTTTTTTTTTCAGATAAACAGGATCTAATTAGGGTTCACATATTGCATTTAATTGTTGTGTCTCTTTAGTCTTTAAATATATTTATTTATTTGGCAGTGCCAGGTCTTATTTGTAGCATGTGAACTCTTAGTTACAGCATGTGGCATCTAGTTCCCTGACCAAGGATTGAATCTGGGGCCCCTGCACTGGGAGTGTGGAGTCTTAGCCACTGGACCCCCAGGGAAGTCCTTTTAGTCTTTAATCTAGGTGATTGCCTAGTTTCTGTGTGGGATATTTCACAATAATGACATTTTTGAACAGTTCAGCCCAGTTGTTTTGAAGAATGTCCCTCAATTTGGGTTTGTCTGTTTGTTTTTCATGACTAGATTCAGAGCAAACATGTTTGACTACTTGGTAGGTGATGGCATGTCCTTTTCAGTGCAAAATGTCAGTGGGAACATGTTAAGAGGTTGTGTTACCTTTTGGTTAAGCTGGGTTCAAATTGGGGCTGCTTATTTTGCTAGCTGGGCAAGTGAGTCATTTAGATGATTTTCTTAGCCATCAAATGAGGGTAATAATAATTCTGATTTATGAGTTTGTTGAATTTTTTTTAAAAAATTATTTGGCTGTGCTGGGTTTCAAATCTTCACTGGGGTATGCAGGATCTTTTTTTCAGTTGCCACATGTAAACCCTTGGTTGAGGCATGTGGGATCTAGTTCCCTGAACAGGGATCAAACCCTGGCCCCCTGCATTGGGAGCGTGCAGTCTTAGCCACTGGACCACCAGGGGAGTCCCAAGCTTGTTGAATTAATACACATAGGGCCCTTAGAACAGTGCAATGCATTGTATTTGATAAATTATTAGTATTGATATTATTGTTGTCATCAATACTATTTCTACTGAAATTTATAGAGACCTTAATATGAGACTCACTGAGTCCAGTGCTCAGTTCTTTGCCCTTCCAGCACCTAGGACACTGTATGACACAAAGGAGGCATTCAATAAATATTTGTTGGCAAAATGTCAACACTATGAGATAGATTGCTATCAATAGCTAACCAACTCACGGATGAGGAAACGGAGGCTCAGTGAAGTGATTTATCTAGGTCACTACGGGCAGTAAGAGGCAAGAGCCGGGATTTGAACCAAGCTTATAGGCTTTGTAAAACCACGGATAAGGAATCTGAATATTTTGTAAACCCTCAAGGACTGTAGATGCAGAGCTGAAATGGAGCGCCACGCAGTGTGCTGCCGCATGCATACAGAAGGTGCTCAATACATAGCTGAATGAATGAGAAAAGAAAGTGAGTCAATTAGGGAGAGTTCATCATGCCCTGGTCTGGGCCAGCGCTAGGGTGGGACTGGGAATCCACCCGTCCTCATACTTCCCAGCCAAGAGTCACCACAGGACCACGTGTTCCAGTAGGTGTGGCTTCTGGTGACCACGCCCACAGACAAACCACGCCTTTCACCTTTCCGGGCGCCCGCGAACAGCTGAGGTGTTTTGGCCCGCGCACGGAGCCGTAGCTTACAGTTTCCTCGGGCGTCCGCGACCGGGAAACCAGCTGTTCCAGGTTCCGGGCAGACGTGCACAATGTCGGAGAAGGCAGGGAGTCAGAGTGGGGGCTCCCCGGAGGCCAGTGGGGTAACTGTCAGCGACATTCAGGAACTGATACGGCGCAAGGAGGAGATCGAGGCCCAGATCAAAGCCAATTATGAAGTGCTGGAGAGCGTGAGTGTGGGAACTGGGCTCCCGGGCGGGCTGGGAGGCGCCGCAACGCATTCCCGACCCGGCCCCCAGACCGGGCAGTGAGGCAAATAAGATGAGTAACTAGGAACGATTCGAATTGATGTCCTAGCAAGCATTTATGGAACCCTCACTGGGAACTGTGTTAAACGCTTGATATTGGCTAACGCATTTAATCCTCCCAACTATCTTTTGAGGTGAGTTCTATTATTTCCCCCATTTTAGGGATGGAGAAACAGGGACATTACTTAAACCTGCCTGAAGTCACAGGGCTAATAAATTTGCAGAGGCAGGGTGATAATCATCTCTGTCATCAGTCGTTGTACAGTTACCAGATGTCCTGTAATCACTTTACCTTAGAGCTTCTTAAACTTTAACGTGTATGCGAATCACCTGGCGATCTTGTTAAAATTCAGATTCTGATGAGGCATGGGTGTGTGGGAACAGCTACTGCATTTCTGCAAATTACCAGCGATGCTGATGCCACTGGTGTAAGAACGTAACAGGAAAGGCTTATTATCCCTATTGTGTAAGGAGGAGACTGGGGCCAAGAGTGGGGCAAACCCTTGCCTAGGGTCATGTACGTCGGAAGTGGCTGTGATGGGGTTAGTTCTCAGGTCTCTCTGGCTCCGAAACGGATGGTTTTTCTTAAGCCACCTAGTATAAAACCACAAATCAATTTGCAGAGGAAGAGTAAATGAATTACATTCTATATAGTGCAATATAGGGGATGGTTATAAGATGAAGTATCATGTGGAGGCCAGGGTACCCTTTTACTGGGTGCTGACTGTGTGCCTGAAGGGAGCTGGTTTATGTGTATGCTATATCCTGGAATCCTCTCAACTGCATTGTGAAGTTGGTATGTTACCCTGGGGCTCAGAAAGAAGTCACAAGGTGAGATTTAGATCTCATGCCTTGGGAATCCAGAATCTGTGCTTTCAAGTGGTTTATGCCAGCTATTTCTCACACCTTAGTTATTTTTCTACTGCAGGCAGGATGCTGTGTCTGTATACCTCCTGTACTGTTACTCCGTTGTTATTTTCCTTTAAGTTAACCCTTTTTTTAACTTTATTTTTTAAGGAAATTTTGTAACTTCACAGCATATGGAAACATAAGAATCTCTTTCCTTAAATATAAAATAATTAAAGTGATCCCCCCCAAAAGGTGATCTATCCATTTAACTGTCACCTGATGAATGGATAATGAAATGTGGTCTGTCTATACAATGAGATATTACTTAAATAAAAAAGAGTGAATTGCTGACATATGCTACAAAAGGGCATGAACCTTGAAAGCTAAGTGAAAGAAATTCATCACAAAAGACCATACATTTTATGATTCCATTTATATGAAATATCTAGAATAGGCAAATTCATGGACAGAAGGTAGATTAGTGGTTGCCAGGGGCTGAGGGGAGGGGGAGATGGAAGTGGCTGCTAGTGGGTCAGAGTTTCTTTTTGGAGGGTGGTGGAAGTGTTTTAAAATGGATTGTGGTGATTATTTCATAATTCTGTGAATATTCTAAAAACCACTGAATGGTACATTTATTTACTTGACTGCACCACACAGCATGATCTTAGTTCCATGACCAACGATGGAAACTGTGCTCCCTGCAGTGGAAGCACAGAGTTCTTAACCAGTAGACTTCCAGGGAAATTCAGAATTGTACACTTTAAATGGGTGGATTGCATGGATTATATGAATTATATCTGAATGAAACTGTTTAAAAAAATAGAGAGGCCCAGATATAACAAGTGATCTGGAGATAATATGAAGACCAACACCAGTTGGAGACTTTTTCCTTGACTACTGGAGAGTTGATGATAATTAGAAAGGGAATAAGTGTTTTAGATTCAGGGTTATTAAATGCCTTGTATATGAGTTGCCAGTGGCTCAGGTCCCAACTTTGGAAACCAGTCTCTGATGCAGTATTGCCTTACTGTAATCAGGAAGGCCAGTCAACTGTTAATCATTGTGAGCAGACAGGAGGCAGATAGAGATATTTAGCCCCTGGCACATTTATACTGTATCTATAGAGAGTCCTGGGTTAAGGGAGTATACGAGACCCCCTTCCCCATGAACAGAAAACAGTAAATAACCCAGAGGCTTTCAGAAAGGGAGAGATGTGAATGGAATCCCTCCCTTTGGAACCTGTGTACACTCAGCCGTTGGTCTCTGTGCTGATCATTATAGCCCTCATTTATTACTTTCTGTGTATATTAATTTCCTGGGGTCACCATAACAAATGATCACAAATTTGGTGGCTTAAAACAGGAGAAATTTATCCTATCTCAGTTGTGGAAACCAGCAGTGTGAAATCAAGGAGTTGGTAGGTTTGGTTCCTTCTGGAGCTCTGAGGGAAAAGCCATTCCCTGCCTCTCCTAAATTCTGGTGGCTACTGGCCATCCTTCGCTGGTGACAGTGTCACCCTAATCCCTGCCTCTGTCTTCGTGGCCTACTCTCTGCATCTCTCTGTCCCATCTCTCCCTCTCCTTTCTTTTAACAGGATACCCATTATTGGATGTAGGGGCCACCCAAAAACCAGGAAGATCTCTTCTTGTGATCCTTCACTTAATTATATCTGCAAAGATCCTTTTTCCAAATAAGGTCACGTTCACAGGGTCTCGGGGTTAGGACTGGGACACATCTTTTGGGGGCCGCTATTCACTGCTCTGTGAATGTGTCTGGCACTGTGCTAAGCACCCTACGTAGGTCAGTTAGTTAATTCTCAGAACAGGTGTAAAGTGAGGTGAGTGTCATTTTTCCTATTTTAGAATTGAGGAAGCTGAAGCCCAGAGAGGTGAACATGTTAACCAAGGACACCCAGCTTGTATGTGGCAGAATTGAGCTTGAAATCAAAGTCTGCAAAAACCCAGCTGTATGTCATATAATATAGTTCATTGCTGTTGTGTACCATGCTCTGATTTAGGTAGGAAAAGACTTTAAAAATGTGAAAATGGGAATTCCTTGGTGATGCAGTGGTTAGGACTCTGCTTTCACTGCCGAGGACATGAGTTTAGCCCCTAATTGGGGACTAAGATCCCACAAGCCATGCAGCACAGTTGAAAGAAACAAAACATTACAACAAATGTATTGTTTTCAATAGGGAATATATTGCTATGGTCAAAATTCAATGTTTACAATAGGATATAAGATGGAAAGTCTCTCTTCCTTCCATCTCCCCAGCCACCCCTTTCCTCTCCCCCAGATGGCAACTGGTAATATCAGTGTATCCTTCCAGGGATGAAAGGCTTGTTTGAAGGTCCCTTCAGATCTCTCTTTATTTTCAGAAGAACCAAAGTCCTGCCTCAGCTGGGTGCTCTTGGAGGTTTTTACCCCCTTCTAACTTCCAAGGTCACCAGCCAGGTGTCAGCTGCCCATAGGAAGGAGGGTCTGGAGGAGTCGAGGTAGCAACTGGCCTTGAGGGTGATGTTCAAAGGAGTCATTAGTTTTATCTGTACTGCTCTAATGTCAGAAAAGAGAGTGGGTCCACGCATTACTGGTGTTGTTAAAAGTCAGTTAAAAAATGGTGCCCACCTCCGAGGGCAGTGGTGAGAGGACATGGGAGAGGACCCGGTCTATGCGAAGTGATCAATATATGGCCGCTGTGGTTACTGGTACCTTTATCACGACTGCAAAGGAACAGAGTCAGGGGAAAGAAGGCTCGAGGACTTCATACCTGTAAAATCTTTCTGACCTTGTTTCTTCCCTCCAGCAAAAAGGCATCGGGATGAACGAGCCACTGGTGGACTGTGAGGGCTACCCCCGGGCAGACGTGGACCTGTACCAAGTCCGAACCGCAAGGCACAACATCGTCTGTGAGTGACCCTGGCTGGGGATGTGCCCCCACCTTGCAGCAGGAGGTTTTAGGGCACAGAGAAGGCACTAGTATTCCATATTACCTGCTTCCCTCTCCTCTCCCTGATGGGATCATCTCCTTGTCCCCATGGAGGGACTGAGAACTATGGGAATGGGATAGACTCTAGGGGTCTATGGTCTCATTTTCCTTTTTTTTTTTAAATCCTTTTTAAAAAAAATTGTTTTATTTTTTGGCCTCACCATGTGGTATGTGGGATCTTAGTTCCCTGACCAGGGATCAAACCCATGCTCCCTGCCTTGGAAGCACAGAGTCCTTAACCACTGGACCTCCAGGGAAGTCCTGTGGTTTCATTTTTCATTTTGCTTTTAGGAACCTTGCTTCATTGCAGAAACTTTTATTGCAGTAACATCAGAAACCCAAGGCAGATATGGCTTACAATCCCAATCAAATCAGTTACATGTTAGGAAGTATGTTTCGCTGTTAATGATAGTGACCCGACTATGGACACTCAAGCAGAAAATAGCTCAGTCCTTCAGTAAAGACATTTGGAGGTAGGCCGTGCAGGGCTGGTCTTCAGAAACCCAGGCTCTGCCATCCTTAGGAAATCTTGTCCATCTTCAGGGTCACCATATCCATGTGGCAGGCGGGAAGAAAGGGGAGGAAGAAGGTAGGAAGGACACAAGCTCCTATGCCAGCTGGTACTGCTCCTGTTAAGGATCTGTCCTGCAAGTCCCATGCCCATGTCCTGCATCAATTTCTGCTTTCCTCTTATAGGCTCCCCTGCCTGCAAGAAAGGTACCCCACAATGGGCGTGTTACTATCTTAAATAAAATATCTTATGTATATAGGTGTATATAGTGTGTCCCTGGAGAAGGAAATAGCAACCCACTCCAGTATTGCCTGAGAGATCCCATGGACAGAGGAGGCTGGCAGGTTACAGTCCATGGGGTTGCAAAGAGTTGAGCATGACTTAGCACCTAAACAACAGTATAGTATGTATGTATGTATTTATTATCAAGGAACAGGGAGAGTGAATAGAGGTTGGGTAGTTTATTTGACTTCTGTTTCTGCTGTAACAAGTCATCACAGACTTAGTGGTTTAAAATGTCACAAATTGGGACTTCCGTAGTGGTCCAGTGGCTAAAAACTTTGCCTTCTAGTGCAGGGGGTGTGGGTTTGATCCCTGATCCGGGGAACTAAAATCCCACATGCCTTGTGGCCAAAAAACCCAAAACATAAAACAGAAGCAATATTGCAACAAATTCAGTAAAGACTTTAAAAATGGCCCACATCAAAAAAAAAAAATCTTAAAAAAAAAAGTCACAAATGTATTATCTTACATTTCTGGAAGTGAGATGTCCAAGTGGGTCTCACTATACTAAAATCAAGGTGTCAACAGAGCTGTGTTCCCTCCAGAGAATTCATTTCTTTGTCTTTTCCAGCTTCTAAAAGCTGCCCACCTTCCTTGACTTGTAGCCCTTTCCATCTTCAAAGCCAGTGGTCACTTCTCTCCAATTTCTGAGTCTGTCATCATGTCTTTCTCTCATCCTCCTGCCTCCCTCTTTCACTGATAAAGACACCTGTGATCACATTGGGCTACCACTTGAATAATCCAGGACAGCCTCCCATCTCAGGGCCCTTAACTTAATCCCACCTGGACAGCCTCCCTTGTTATGTCAAATAGCAGATTCACAGTGTCTGGAATTAGGATGTGAACATCCTTTCTTGGGGCCACTTTCATGCTGCCACAGCTAGGCAACCAACGATTTCTACAACAAGGGCATGTCAAATAGTTGGGAATTTATCATCTACATTACTCCTCCCACTTTTTAAAAAACTAATTTATTTATTTTGGCTGCACTGTGTCTTTGTTGCTGCACTCAGGCTTTCTCTCAGGCTATTCTTTGTTGCAAAGTGTGCTGACTTCTCACTGCAGTGGCTTCTCCTGTTGCCGAGCCTGGGCTGTAGGGGCCTGGGCTTCAGTAGTTGCGGCAAACGGACTCAATTGCCCCACGTCATGTGGAATCTTCCTAGACCAAGGATCAAACCTGTGTCCCCGGCATTGGCAGGCGAATTCTTAACCACTGGCCCACCAGGGAAGTCCTACTTGATCCCCTTGATGACTTCTGTTTTACCTGTGTGAATCTTGACTCTCTCTGCAGCATGCTTTGGTATAAGTTGTCTTTACGTTAAAAAAAAAAAAGTTACCCAGATCCTAGCCACTCTGCTGGACTGGCCTGCAGAGACAGCTTACTCAACTGGCCCATTTGTTCCCCACATTTTGAGTTAACTGGCAGTACTGAAAAAAATCAGAGGACTTCATCCCAAACTCCTGGTTTCCAGCTGTTCTCACTGTTGCCTCTCCCACGCTGAACACCACCAGTCATGTGTTTCTAGATTGGGCATCTTCTGGAAGCGTTAAGAGAAAAGTGAGGTCCTCCTTGGCTCCAGCCTGCTTCACTTGGTCGCTTGCTCACGGCGCTGCCCCTTGTGTATGCCTGAGCTTGTGGCCATGGATTCAGCTGGACGAGTCCCTCCCCCTGCTCACCTTTCAGGCCTCCACTGAAATGGTGCTACCTTTGGCAGGCCTTCCTTGATCTTCTAGATGAGCCAGGTCAGGGCCCATGGGTGGGTCAGCCCTCATTGTGGTCATTAGGTGTCATTGTAATCACTCATCCCTTGGCTGCTCCCCTTGTGGGACTGTAAGCTTCATGAGGGCAGCCCCTCTGTCTTGTTTGTCGATGAGTCCTCAGTGTCTGGCCCAGTCTCTGGGATTTAATAAGCACTCATTAAATATTTAGTGAAAGAATGTGGGGGGCGTGTCTCATGTCTTCTACTGTCTTTTCTTGGCCCCTGATACGATGCTCTCCTTCAGGCCTGCAGAACGACCATAAGGCAGTGATGAAGCAGGTGGAAGATGCCCTGCACCAGCTGCACGCTCACGACAAAGAGAAGCAGGCCCGGGACCTGGCCGAAGCCCACAGGGAGGCCCTGAGCCGCGGCCAGAGCCAGGGCCTCAGCCCTCCTCAGGCCTTCGCCAAAGTGAACAGCGTCAGCCCCGGCTCCCCCGCCAGCATCGCAGTAAGCCAGGGCTGACTCCCTGAGTCCACGCCCTGAGGGTGCCTTGAGGTGGACTTGAGGGTGGGGCACTGTGGACAGACAGACCACACTCTCTCCAGGGCAGCAGACGCGAGGGAAGGCCAGTGGGAGTTAGGCCATGCTGCCCGCTCCAGTAGCCACGAGAGAAACCCTGGGCCACAAGGTGGAAGGTGATAGATGTCTCAAGAGAGGGAAGGAGGCTCTCTTCCTGGGCCTGATTTTCGCTGGGCGTTGAATAGTAGATAGGAGGGTAACAACAGCAGCTGCCGCTTACTGAGTCCTTGCTTTGCAACACGTGTCCTGCCAAGTGAGCTTGCCTGGTGTGTTTTGACAAGTTTTAACAGCTTTAATTGGGATATAGTTCATATGCTATAACTTCTATCCATTTAAGGTACATATATGATTGAGTGGCTTTTGGTGTATTAACAGTCAGGAGTCAGATTTTAGAGTATTTTCATTATTCTAAAAAGAAACCAATTAGGCGTTACACCTCAACCCCCATCTCCCCTAACCCCTGGCACCCACCAGTCTGCTTTCTGTTTCTATAAATTTTCCTATTTTGGGCATTTCATATATGAGTGAATGGAATCATACAACATGGGGTCCTCTATATCTGGCTTCTCCCTCTTAGTATCACGTTTTCAAGGTCTATCCACGTTGGAGCATGTATGTCAGCTTCATTGCTTTTTCATTTTCTAAAATGTTTTATTGGAGTGTAATTGGTGTATAGCATTGTGTTAGTTTCAGGTGTACAGCAGAGTGAGTAAGTTACACATGCACATAGACCGCTCCTTGTTGGATTCTTCTCCCGTATCGGCCGTTACAGAGCACGGAGTAGGGTTCCCTGTACGTACAGCAGGTTCTTATTAGTCACCTATTTTACATATAGCTGTATATAATCTCCCAGTTTGTCCCTTTCTCACTTGCATTCCTTTTTACCGCTGAGTATAGTATGGTGTCTGGATAGGTCACACTTTGTTTATGTATTCATCAATTTGGTTCCATTTTCTCGCTATTATGAACAGTGCTTACGTGAACATGACAAACAGATTTTTATGTAGAGCTGCAATTAATGTTGAATCCCACAGCCCCCCTCTGGAGTAGGTACCATTTCACCCAGGGGAAAAGCCTCAAACCCCTGAAGTACTTTTTGCTAGGACACATAGCTTCTAGAAGGCGGAATTGGGCCCTGCCAGTCATCTTTAGTGATCGTAAGACTGCGAGTTAACATGTTTTATCCACTGCTGTGCATACAACATCTGGTACAGAGTTGTCGGCCTGTGACGAGTATCTGTAGAAGGGATGGAGGAATTGTGATCTGTGTTCTTAGAACCACAGGGTCACTCTTGTGCTGGGTCAGCGTTGTGCTCCTGGCTGCTCGAATGGGGCCTTCTAGGGCAAATGTATCTAAATGCTGACTCCTGAACAAAATAGGCCAGGTTGGCCTGCTACTCCTTGCCCCCGCACCTGAGTCAGGACCCCCGGAGAGCTTTGCCCCCTGTTCCTGAAGGCTTTCACCAGGCACTGGGCGGACCCGGCCAGCCGCCTTTTGCTCACTCTGTGCCTGGAGGAACCCCTGGAGGAGCTGGCCCAGTTATGCGCTGCCTCTTCCTGCCTGATGTATCTAAATCCTAACCTCTTTGCTTCGTGCCTGCCGTTCTTCTCTGTGGAAAACATGCTCATTTAAAAAAAAAAAATCAGAGTATAATTGCTTTACAGCATTGTGTTTCTGTTGTACAATGAAGTGAATCAACCACATATGTACATATATCCTCTCCCTCTTAAGTGTCCCTCCCACCCTAACTCCCATCCCACCCCTCTCGGTCACCACAGACCACTGAGCTGAGCTCCCTGTCTGTACAGCAGATTCCCGCTGAAAACGCGCGTTAACTTAGGACTGTCTGAGAGGGTGAAGGACACCAGAGGCACACTGACCTCTCTCCTGACTTCCTGTTTTCTCTTCTCTCTTTAGGGTCTGCAAGTGGATGATGAGATTCTGGAGTTTGGCTCTGTGAACACCCAGAACTTCCAGTCACTGCAGAACATCGGCAGTGTGGTCCAGCACAGTGAGGGGGTGAGCTGGAGGCTGTGTGGTGTCTGGCCAGTGACCCTGGAACTGCCGGGGCAGGAGCTGTGGCCGGGGGTGGGCCAGCTGCCCTCAGGGGGCTGTTTCTCAGGCACAGTCCTTCCCGCACAGGGCCTTTACGTTGGCTATTCCCTCTGCCTAGAATGCTTATCCCCCTGATTTCTGGTAGGCATCCAGCCAAGAAGCAGTTGGCTGGTGTCGGCGCCCTGCTCGAGGTCAGGCCCTCATTTCCACACTGACACCTTCATCCAGTCTGTACTTAGGTGGAAGTTTATAATTTTGATTTTTGTCAAACTTATTAGTTTTGCACTTTATGGCTTGTATCTGCTTGAAGAAATTCTTCTAGTGCTTTTATTGGTTTGTTTTTAGCTTTTCTTTAATCCATCTGGCATGTATCTTTTATTATTTTATTTTAATAGCAGTTTGACTGAGGTACAATTTACATACCTTCCAGGTCACCCATTTAAAGTGCATAATTCACTCATTTTTAGTCTCTTGTAGAGTTGAGCATCCATCACCACAATCAGTTTTATTTATTTTTTAAATTTTTATTTATTTATTATTTTTTAGAATCAATTTTAGAACATTTTCATCACCTCAGACAGAAGCCTCATTCCCATTAGCAGTCATTCCCATTTTCCCCATATATACCGACCCCTGGCAGCCACTAAACTACTCTTTGTCTCTACAGTCTTGCTTATTCTGGATATTTCATGTAAATGGAATCATACAGTATATGATTTATACTGTATATATATACACACACATATATACTGTGATATATCCTGTATATATAGTAAGTGATATATATATATCATTTAGTGTAGTGTTTTCAAGATTCATCCATGTTGTAGCATATGTCAATACTTCGTTCCTTTTAATGACCAAATAGTACCCCATTGTATGGATAGGCAGTATTTTATTTATCCACTCATTAATTGACGAATATTCAGGTTGTTTCCACTTTTTGGGTATTATTATAGAGTAATACTTCTGTGAACATTCTATATAAGTTTGTGTGTGCACATATGTTTTCATTTCTCTTGGATTCATAGTTCATCTGAAATTAATTTTTGTGAATGGTGTGAAGCAGGGTCCCAGACATATTTTTTTTTCCCCAAATGGATAGTAGTTGTTCCAGTATTGTTTATTGAAAATTTAGTACTGTACCCACTCTTTTATATTGCCACATCTGTTATATAATTCTTATATGTGGGATTGTTTGTTTCTTTGGTCTGTTTGTTTGGAACCTTTCTGGGGTTCCCTAGAACAAATCCATTTGTCCTGCTCTGCTTCCCTTTAACCCTTTGCCAGAAAAGGTGTATTGGTGAGTGAAAAAAATCACCCCAAAACTTTAGCAGCTTCAAGCTTCACGCATTTATTAGCTCATACAGTTTGGGGGTCAGGCAGTGTCTAGGAGTCATGTATCTGGGTGGTTTTGGTTCAGAGTCTCTCATGAGGCTGTGATCAAGATGTAAGCAGAGGTTGCAGTCACCTGAGGGCTTGACTGAGGTTAGAAAATCTGTGTCCAAGGTGCCTCACTTACCTGGCTGTTGGCAGGAGACTTCAGTTCCTCAGCACATGGGCCTCTCCACAGTGCTGCTTGAGTGCCCTCACAGCATGGCGGCTGGCTTCTCCCAGAGTGGGCATTCCAGGTGAGAGCAGAGAGCCGACAGCAGCACCTTCTCTGACACAGTCTCTGAAGGTTCACACTATCATTTCCACTGTATTCTATTTGTTAGAAGCAGCTAAGTCCAGGCCTCACTCAAAGGGAAAGGAATTAGGCTTTAACTCTAGAAGGAAAGAATTCCGAAGAATTTATCATTGTGGCATTATACCTTTGTCATCTCTTTACTGTCTCATCATCATTTTAGTGAGGTTTCTAGAGATGATGCATTGTGTTATTTTTACCAGAGTCTCTGTTTTTCACTCCTTCTTCCCTACCCCACCTTCCCAGCTTGCTAGTGTGTTAGAGTTTACTCAGGTTTCTTGGGTACCTTGCTGCACGTAACAATACTTTTAAACTTTGTAGTTGTCTGGGCTCATTATTACTGGTTTGTGTTGTAAATATGTCTTTTTTTTCTTTTTTTTTTTTGCCCCCTGGAAAAGGTAATACTTACTAATGGCAAAAACAGAACGAAAAAATATAATGAAAAACCTCCCTCTCCTCCAGGTTTATTTCCTTTCCTCCAAAGGCAGCTGCTTTCGAACTGTGTATCCTTTCAGGGACAGGTTCTTTGTGCATGAGCATACAGGTTAAGGTCTGATGTACCCACAGCAGAATTCACCCTTTTCAGTGTATAGTACTATGAATTTTGACAACTGTATGTAGTTATGTAAATATCACCAAATGAAGATACGTCGCAGTTCTACAACCCAAAATGGCCTCATCTTTTTGTAGTTAACTTCTCCCCATGCCTCATCCCCAGGAAACCACGAATCTATGCTCCACTCCTGTGGCTTTACCGTTTCTAGAATGTTGTATAAGTGAAACTGCATAGTATAAAGCCCTTTAAGAGACTTCCCTGGCAGTCTAGTGGTTAAGACTCTGTGCTTCCATTGCATGGGGTGCAGGTTCCGTCCCTGTCAGGGAACAGACCTGGCATGCCATGTGGCACAGCTGAAAAATAGTCCTGTAAGTCTGGCTGCTTTCACTCAGTGTCCTGCATCTACGGTTCTTCCAAGCTGGCATGTGCATCTGTAGTTCATTCCTTTTCACTACTGAGTAGTAATCCATTGCGTAATGACCCCCAGACTCTTCATCCATTTCCCAACATGGGACATTTAAGTTGTTTCCAGTTTTTGGTGGTTACTCATAATAGCTACTGGTTTCTAATCCGTCTTTTCTAGTTAAATATAGTCTTAGACTGCTGCTGCTAAGTCACTTCAGTCGTGTCCGACTCTGTGTGACCCCATAGACGTCAGCCCACCAGGCTCCCCCATCTCTGGGATTCTCCAGGCAAGAACACTGGAGTGGGTTGCCATTTCCTTCTCCAATGAGTGAAGAAAGTGAAGTCGCTTAGTCTTAGGCTATTTATAGCTAAAAATCTGTTTTTGTTAACATTGAGGTATAATTGATGTATAACTATATGAACATTATTTTCAGATATAAAACATAATTCAACGTTTGTATATATCGGGAATTGATTGCCACAATAAGTCTAGTTAACATCTGTCACCATACATAGTAGTTACAAGTTTTTTTTTTGGTGATGTGCACTTTTAAGATTTACTCTCTTAGCACCTTTCAAGTATGCAATAGAGTATTATTATATTCCATATTGCACAGCATGGTGACTCTAGTTAATAATACTGCATGATTCCTTTTTTTTACAAAGGTAGTTATTGAACATTTTGTAAGAAATTTCATTCTTTAAAATGAAATTTCCTGGGGAATTCCAGTATATCAAACAGATGAGTTGAACTGCTGGGATGAGCTAGAGGTGGGGTGGGGGCAGTCTCACATCATCAGGGCCCTAGGTCCTCCTAGAACCAGAGCACAGCTTGAGAATCATGGATCTGGGTTTCCATGGTCTGCTCTGTGAATTGGAGAAAATAAAATTTTTTTTAACCCCATAGCATTCTATTGTTAGACATTTAGAAAAGAAAGAAAGTGAAGTCGCCCAGTCATGTCCAACTCTGCGACCCCATGGACTGTAGCCCACCAGGCTTCTCCATCCATGGAATTTTCTAGGCAAGTGTGCTGGAGTGGGTTGCCATTTCCTTCTCCAGGGGATCTTCCCAACCTAGGGATCAAACCCGGGTCTCCCACGTTGCAGGCAGACACTTTACCATCTACCAGGGAATCCCCTAGTTAGATATTTAGGTAGTTTCCAATTAGAAATTAACACTCTTGTAGACAAATCTCTGTTTCTTTAGATAAGTTTTTTAAAGGTGAGTTTCTGGATCAAATGCATGTATTTTCAAAGGAAAAAAAATCTTAAAACAATATTTCTTTATATTAAAAATAGTGTGTATTCAACCATAAAAAAAGAAAGGTGTACTGATATGCTATAACAGTAACAATCCTTGAAAGGATTTGTGCTAAGTGAAAGAAGCCAGACACAAAGGGCCACATATTTTAGATTTCCATTTATATGAAATGTTCAGAAGAGGCAGATCCATAGAAAGTAGAAAGGTGGTTTCCAGGGGTTGGGGAGGAGGGACAGGAGAGTGATTGCTAATTAGTGATTGCTAATTGCTAATTAGTGATTGCTAATGGGCACGGGGTTTCTTTCTGGGTGATGGAAATGCTCTGAAATTAGATAGTGGTGATGGTTGGACAAATCTCTGAATATACTAAAACCCACTGAATTGTATACTTTTTTATTATTGTAAAAAATATTTATTTGGCTGCACTGGGTTTTAGTTGCGGCCACCTGGGATCTTTGTTGCGGCATGCAGGATCTAATTCCCTGACCAGGGATCGAACCCAGGCTCCCTGCATTGGGAACGAGGAGTCTTAACCATTGGACCACCAGGGAAGTCTCAAAATTTCTATTATTTTTAATTGAAGGAGAGTTGATTTATTTTTTTTTAATTAATTAATTTGTGTAGCTGCCTGGGGTCTTAGTTGTGACACACAGGGACTTTGTTGAGGAGCACAGGCTCTGTAGTTGCATTGAGCAGCCTTAGTTGCCACGCAGCATGTGGGAACTTGGTTCCCCAACCAGAGATTGAACCCATGTCCCCTGCATTGTAAGGCAGATTCTTAACCACTGGACCCCCAGGGAAGTCCCTGAAGTATATAGTTGATTTATAACATATGTGACCTTTTAGGACATACATTCAGATGGATTCATACTTCACTGGTTTTGTTTTATTTTTACTAAACCTACTTTTTCACTGCACTATATTTGAACACTACCTTATTGAGGGGTATTTTGGGTGTTTTCAGTTTTTGAAATTTATAAACAGTCTGGGATGAATGCTTTGTTAATTTATCATCTTGTAGTTTTGCAAAAGATATCTTGTATGCACCTTTTAAAGATTTTGTTGTTGTTGTTGGGGAGGTATGTTTCTCCAGGAGGATGGTACCAAATCTGTAGCCCCATTGGCTGCCCCCAGAGTGCCACATCCCCTGCATTCTTGCCCGCTGCAGAAATTATGTTTAGAATAAGCATCCTGGGACTTCCCTGGTAGTCCAGTGGCTAAGGCTCTGTACTCCCAATGCAGGGGGCCCAGGTTCGATCACTGGTCAAGGAACTAGATCCCACATCTTGCAACTAAGACCTGGCATAGCCAAATAAATAAATAAGTAAAAGCAAAAAAAAATTTTTTTTAAAGCCTCCTTACCAATCTGGTGGGCAACCCCCGTCCCCCGCCCCCGCTACCCCCAGTATCTCAGCCTTCTAGCCTGACTCTCTTTGAATGCTAAGGAGGCTGAACATAAAATGAGCTTATTTTCCTTTCAGAAGCCCCTGAATGTGACAGTGATGCGCAGAGGGGAGAAACACCAGCTTAGACTCGTGCCAACACGCTGGGCAGGAAAAGGACTGCTGGGGTAAAGTATCTGTGTCCATTCATTCACACTGCAGCGTCCACTGCATGCTTGTTAGACATAAAACTCCAGGCAGGAGGTGGGGTTGTTGGGGAAGGAAGGGAGTTTCCAGATTACCTGTAGCAACTCATGATGAATCTTTTTGGCAGGAATGAGATTGCAGGTGTGGAGGTGGAGGGAGCCCTGGTCTTTGGGTCTTTCATTAACTGGGCGTTTGTGTTGAATGAACAAAAGCATGTAGGTGAAGAGCTCAGAAGGGATCACTTCTGATCTTCCTGAACGGAGCCACCAAACTTACATACTGTTTTCTTTTTTTTTTTCCAGCTGCAGCATTATTCCATTGCAAAGATGACTGTCCCTGAGGAATGGAAACAGGAAAGCATCTTCCTTTGCCCCAGACCTGGGTCTAGTGGGCATTTCCTCCTCTTCATCTTTGCCTGAAGTTCGAGGATCTCAAAGAGACTGGACGCCTGAACTTCTAGGTGGTGGAAACACTGTGGCCTCTCATTTTAATCTCTTGGGATTAAGCATTGTTAAAAACTTGATTTGTGTTTAGCATTTTTTGCAGGTTAGGCCATGACCCTAAGTGAGACTCCTCTGGATGGTGAGGAAATGGGCGGGAGTTATTCTGGCAGGTGCTGATGTGACTTTATTCTTCTAGAAATCTTTTTTTTCCAAATAAAACCCAGTTTTACAGTATTGATATGATCATGTTATCACCCCAGTTGGATTCCCTATGAACCTCTCAAACCAAAACTCAAGACAGGAGTTAGAGCCTCCTCATAGAAAGTTGGGCAGAACAAATCAACAGTTGTGCTGAGATCAAGGTTTGGCTAACAATCTCTCTGGAACATGATCCTTTAGTGAATGGGGTTTCCAAACACTCAGGCTGCACCATCTGCTCTTGCATTGCAGCATTGCTGCTCTGGCTACAGAAATTGCATCCTCAGCATTTGAATCTCCAGGGCCACAGCTCCCTCTAAGATTAAGGGAAGCCAAGAAGTACGCCTGGTAGCTCAGTATAGTGTCAGCTTCCTTTCCATAACCCACCTGAGAGCAGAAAGGTCCTTTTCTGGAATAAAAGACCCTGCAAATTAGCCCCTAATGACCTTTCATAATTGAACCTCCTAAGGTGTGTTGACATTACTGATGAGAATCAGCAGGGTGTGCAGACCTGGTTTCTTGAAAATGCTGATTCCTCCTGCCTGCCTTTTCTTTCTTGAACATGGCAGTGTGAGTTTCAGTGATACTTAGTGACTCCCTGTTTTACGTTCCTTCTCGTCACCGTATTACAATGCTTATCTCCACAGTTACTGCCAGACCACCTTCTGTTTCAGAGGGCATTGGCACATTCTGCTGAACACATGTTCGGGTTCCTCAGGACTGGATTTGCTTGGCTTGGATACAGATACCAGGTCGTCCTGACAGGAGTCAGTACTGGGTGTGCTCCTGTCCATGGGCACTCATGCTCAACTGGAAAGACCTCCTATTGAGTACCCCAAACTGTGTACCCTAGCCAAACTTCCACCTGGATTTCCCCCCTTGTAGCCACAGATGTGCTGTGTTTACCAGTGTTTGCTGTTTAAATTGTTTTTTCTAATTCCATGTGTTTTCCAATCTCTTTTTATAAACCCTAGACTATAATAAACAGGTTTGTCCCATCCAGTAATCCCTTTTACTTTTTTTAGATGTGTGTATATGAAGATCCCCTGGAGTCGAAAATGGCAACCCACTCCAGTATTCTTGCCTGGAAAATTCCATGGGCAGAGGATGGAGGCTACAGTCCGTGGGGTTGCAAAGAGTTGGATAGGACTGAGCACACACACACAAACCCACATGCTTGATAAAACCAGCCTTGTGATAAGAGGGTGTGGTGGCGTCAGGAGAAGCATTCAGTCCTCCTAAAACAGTCTTCTGCCTCAGTGCCTTTGGCTGGTTTCCTTCATGTCTTCCTTCAGAAACCTCAGGATGGATAGGCAGGCAGGCTGTCTTTTTTGAGGGGCTAGTGGAGGGTTGCTTTGAGGTGGAATCATCCTAATGGATTTTACCACACTGGTTTGATAAAAACATTTTGTGATAAGAATCGCAAGATAATGTAACCTGTGTAATATTTAATCCCAGCCAGCTAAAATGATCTACACAACATGTAGTTCCCTGGGCGAGGAGCCTTGGAGGACAGCTGTAAGGTGCATCAACGAGACTGGAAAATTCAGTTTGCTTTTGACAAAGAGAATTTTATCAAACAGTTCGTACTTCTTCACTTAATTTTGTCAAGCCTTCAGAAAGTCAGAATTGCTAGGATTGGCCGCTGCAGCTTCTTAGTGGATGGCTTCAAGGGAAAAAGTTGGGGACAGAGAAGAGGAGGAAAGCCAATTTCAGCGCGCCGAGTCACGGCGGCGCTTCTCCCCACGAGCCGCCAGGGGGCGTGCTCGGCCCGCTCCCGCCTCTTTCTGGGCATGTGATCTCGGTCCAGCCTTCTTGCTTTACGGCCAGTCGCCTGCGGCGGTAGCGGTTACCATGGAGATGGGCTTGGTTGGCAACCGTAACTAGGGAGCCTGTGGAGAAAGCGGCCGCAGCTGGAGGCCGGGAGGTGGGAAGAGGGCTTCACGCAGCGGGACGACCCCGGCCTTTGAGGCCCGGGTGGGTGCGCTCTGTGAGTCAGGAGCGGGGTCCCTGGCAAGGCAGGGCCTGGTGCCTCTCGGGGGCGGGGGGCGCTCACCTCACCTGGGCCCGGCCTGAGGCAGCTCCAGGGAAACCTCAACCGCGCCTGGGCTTCGTGTCCCCAAGGGCAGACACCTGCTCCCCCCACCCCTACCCCCGTCCCCTCCCCTACCCCCCCCCCCCCAACTGCTTCTTCCTTGCTGTTTTACCTTGAATAAGTCGCTACACCTCAGCGCCTCAGACTCTTAAGTTTGCTGTGAGGAATAAATGAGAGAATACGTTAAAAGGCTTTTGTGAAGTGAAGTGGCTCAGTCGTGTCCGACTCTTTGTGACCCCATGGACTGTAGCCCACCAGTCTCCTTCCATGGGATTTTCCAGGCAAGAGTACTGGAGTGGGTTGCCATTTCCTTCTCCAGAGGATCTTCCCCACTCAGGGATCGACCCCAGGTCTCCCGCATTGTAGGTAGACGCTTTACCGTCTGAACCACTGGAAGTTTAGTTTTAAAAGGCTTTTAAACTTTCTAGACGACTGCTGCCATTTCTCACGCACTCTGTGCTGCAGCTCTGTTGAGCATTTTACGTATGTCACCTCATCTTCATAAGACCCCCAGAATGTAGGGTTATCATTTTCATTTTGCCAGTGAGCAAATTTAGACTCAGAGGGGTAAAGTGACTTGCCCGGGGTCACAGAACTACTGAGTGGTGGAACTGGGATTCAGTGCCAGCACAGGCTGACTGAAAAGACACTTTTCACCACTACCTGCTTCTTCCTTGATTCATATGCTTAGAATTGTTGCCAATGCCTGAGTTATCATTTTGCTGCCTGTGGGAATATGAGTATATTTAAAGTGAGTTAGAGGGCTCTAAAATTATTCCTAGAAAGGAATGAATCCCCGGGGGCAGGGGGGAGGGGGTGTTGGGCATCAATATTTTTAAAGATTTTGGACAAGCTTTCCCAGGAGTCTGGCATTCTTCTCATTCTCATAGAAAGGGACAGAGCTGGCATTGCCAGCTGATGTGTTTGTGGACCAGGAAATCAAAGTGGGACAAAGAGGTCCCTGCTGATTATTATGTTCAAAATTTCTTTAGAGAAAACTCCAAAGAGAAGAATGTCAGATGCAGAGGAAAACCCACTAGAAGAAACAGAAGAATACGGAGAAATAGAAATGCAAGAAGAAGATGAAGAAGAAGAAGAAGATCCAAATTTTGAAGGGCTAGAAAATATGCAAGGGGAATTAAAAGAAGTTAACACATTAGCATGGACAGCGTCTCCAGAGGAGGAGGAGGGAGAAGAAGGGAGGGAGTTTGGGGAGGAGGCGGAAGCAGAGGATGGGGAGGAAGGAGAGGTGGAGAGAAGAGAAGAGGAAGAGGAGGACAGGGAAGGGAAGGAGGAGGGAGAGGAAGAAGAGGAGGAAGAAGGGGAAGGGGAGAAGAGAGTGGAGGAGCATGAGGAAGAGGGAGGGAAGGGAGAGGAAGTGGTGGAAGGATTTGGGAAAGAGGCTGTCAAAGAAGAAGTAGGGGAAGAGACTGCAGAAGCACTGGAGGAGGAAGAGGAGGCCTCAGGAGCACAGGAAGAAACCTCTGGAGAGCCCGAAGAAATCACCACGTCCATGATCAGTTTGGAGAGATTTACACAGACTGATTCCCAGACAATCTTCTCAGAAACATCCCTAGTAAGTAGGAATTGTCATTCGTTCATTCTTTCCTAATCATTAATTGCATGCTTGTTACCCACTTACCTGCCCGGCTATGGGAATATAAAACCAAATAAGACACAATCCATTCTCTTAGAGCTCTAGGGTGTGTAAGGAGGCAGACCCATAACTGAAGAGCACGTGTTAGAAAACTAAGTGGAGTGAGGGGACTTCCCTGGTGGTTGAGTGGCTAAGATTCTGAGCTCCCAATGCAGGGGGCCTGAGTTGGATCCCTGGTCAGGGAATTAGACCCCATATTGCCACAACTAAGACCTGGCACAGTCAAATAAATATTAAAACAAACAACTGAACTAAGTAGAGTGATTGAGAGATGCATAAGAGATATGTATCTGTATTAAGGCTGACAACCCAGCTTAGCGGATGATCAGGGAAATCTTCCTGGAGGAAGTGTGTGCCAGAGCTGACTTAAAGGACAGTGGTTACCTGGAGTGTGCTTATCTAAAGAGTCAGCCTGTAAAACTCAGCAGTGTTCCAAGAAGAAGTGTGCGCCTGTGTGCTCAGTTGCTTCGGTCGTGTCTGAATCTCTGGGACCCTGTGGACTGTAGCTCGCCAGGCTCCTCTGTCCGTGGACTTTCCCAGGCAAGAATACTGGAGTGGGTTGCCATGCCTTCCTCCATGGGATCTTCCCAACTTAGGGATCAAACCTGAGTCTCCTGCATCTCCTGCATTGCAGGTGGATTCTTTACCCACTTAGCCACCTGGGAAGCCCCAAGGAGAAGTGACTTTGTGGTGGTTTTGGAGGCCACTTAGAAGAATCATTTTGCTGTTGTGGGTCTGCTAGTAAGCTGAGAATAAACTTAACACACCCACGATTCCTGTTATTTGAGTACAAAACATCCCAGGCTCTCTTTTAAAGCAGTTCATAATTCTGATGTGAGGCTAACACTAAGACTGGCTGATTAGGAAAAGAAAGGAAACTAAATGAGGGACTGTAGCAGCATGTACTGTATTTGGCATCACAGTCTCCTTTTTATTTCTTTTTTTTTTTTAAAGAAAAGTAGCGAGTCAAAGCATTCATTACAATCAGATCTTTTGGAAATGTTCGAGCTTCCAAGAAGCCCTAGCTCACAATTAGAGTTTCTGGATTTGGATGTAACCACTTCTGGGGAACCACTGATTAGTTTCCCGGAAAGGCAGCCTTCAGGCGAGCTCTACCAGAGGCCCCAAGATGAATTGGAAGAAGAAGAAGGGAGAGACTTGGAACCAGAAAGGGGAGACTTGGAGCAGGAAAACAGGGAAAGGAGAAAAGAAATGAGAGTATCATATACCAGCGAGAAAAGCGAAAAAGAATCACAGCCCAAAGCAAGGATCACCAAGGCATCGCTGGTCTCCACCGCCACTGAGGACATTTTGTTCCAAAGGAGGGAGAGTACCAACTTGTATCCCTTGGTAAGTGTGGCATCCTTTTATGTGTTTACTTTTTAAAACTTTTTTTTTTTTTTGGAGTATAGCTGATTAACAATGTTGTGAAAGTTTCAGGAGAACAGCAAAGGGACCCAGCCATACACATACGTGTATCCATTCTCCCTCAAACCCTCCTCCTATCCAAGCTGCCAAATGGCCCCCAGTGCTTTGAGAGTATTTTGAAGTAGGGGAATTTTATGCCTATGGAAAAAAATGCCACCAGAAAGATCCATTTTAAGCTAATCATAGACTTGGGTCTTTTTAAAGTTCAGTTCAGAGCTCTGGCTGGCCATGTGTGACAGAATGTGCTGCATCTGGGTTTGATAGCGGCACTGTTCTGCAGGCAAAGAAATTCCACAAGCGGTTTGTCTGTTGCATAGGGTGTTATTTTCTTTCTTTCTTTTTTTTTTTTTTTGGCCGCGCCTTGAGGCATGTGGGGAGTTCCTCGACCAGGGATGGAACCCATGCCCTCTGCAATGGAAGCATGCAGTCTTAACCACCGGACCACCAGGGAAGCCCAGGGTGTCGTTTTCTTGTGGGAGACTCAAAATCTCTCTCTCCCCTTTCCCCTCTCCCCTCTCTCTATCTGTTTCTCTCCCTTTCCCACTCTCTCTCTTTGATATTCTAATACTTCTCTTCCAGCCACCAATTCTCTTTCTCCTCCTCTCCTCACCTCTTCCCCTGTAACTGGCTTGATCCCTTCACCAGCTCCCCAAACCATGACAGCTTCCTAAAAACTAGCCACCCCAAGATGGATCAATAAGCGAAAGGTCTGGAAGAAGTGAAAGCCACCAGGAAAAGCACCAGTCGGTCCAATGGAGTCTGCCTTTGCTGCCACTGACAGCATTGCAAGGCGGCGCCATCTGCGAGGAATAAAAATATTATCATTTGCCAAGAGAAGGAAGAGGAGGTTTCTTTTCCCCCTTCTTCCTCCATCTGCTACTTTCTGAAAATTGTTTCCTGGGATTCATCTTTCCCCCGCCTCTCCACTGTAGATCCATGCCTTTGGAAGATTGATAAGTGATGGAGTGTGTATACTTAATGCAGTTCCTAACACAGAGTGAGCACTTGACAAGTGTTAACAACCAGATGATGAATGGGTGGTGGTGGTGGTGGTAATGGAAGGACGCCGAGGGGGAAGTGCAGAGAAACTGACAGCCTCCTTTCTGTAGATGTGGCTGGCTTTGAGCAGTGTAGTTAAAGCTTCAAGCTTGCAGTTGCTTGGTCTGAAAGAAAGAATAACTTTGAGTTTTTTAGAGCCCATGAGGACATTGGTCTTATTTAGCCACCTAACCAGAAATCGGGTGATATCACTGATGACAGCAAGTGATCTTTGTACCAGGGCCCCCGCTCCCTGGACTTGACAAAAGCCACCACACAGGTCTGGGCCCCTGTTAGCCTTGGGCTTGTTGTAGAACCAAACTTGCAGAGGCTGTCCCCCTTTGCAAGTTTGCTTAGCTCTTTGAGGGCACTTTCTTTTTCCTTTCCTTTTGCCTTTATTTCTTCTTTTTGTTAAAATGAATAAATGCTCTATATTAATATATATATATATATATATATATATACACACACACACAGGGACTTGCCCGGAGGTTCAGTGGCTAAGACTTTGTGCTCCCAATTCAAGGGGTCTGGGTTTGATCCCTGGCCAGGGAACTAGATCCCACATGCTGCAACTGAAGATCCTAAGCTCAAAGATCTTGTGTGCCACAACTAAGACCTGGTGCAGCCAGATAAATAAATAGTCTGTATTTATTTTTCTTAAAAAAATTCACCCTTTATTTCTTTTTTCTTTAAAAAAGAAAAGCATATATATATACATATGGCAAAGATTCCTATTCTTTAACACACTCTCACCCAAAACCATTTTCCTGAGGTGATTACTGTTGCAGTTTGGTATAACCATGTATCTTTCCAGACTTTTTCTGGTACATATACAATTATGTATCTACACACACAGACACACACACACACACACACAGAGACACACACACACACACGAGTTTGTATTTCAATTTTTGTTTTAACCAGTGAGATATTCTGCATCTCTGTAAAATGTTTTCGCACTTAATATCTCTTAGAGGATTTTTTTGTATCAGTGCATGTGTATCCACTTCCTCATTTTAAATTCAGCTATTTCCTTATTGATGGTCACTTACGCTATTTCTAATTTCTTGCTCTCACCAAAGGTGCTTCTGTTGCAGGAAGGGGACCCCATCCAGGGCCCGAAAGTGGGCTCTTGTCTAACACTCGGAAATGAATTGTCTGAGGAGATGCATGTGCTGACAAAGCAAGAGACTTTATTGGGAAGGGGTACCCAGGTGGAGAGCAGGAGGGTAAGAAAACCCAGGAGAACTGCTCTGCCACATGGCTCACAGTCTCAGGTTTTATGGTGATGGGATTAGTATCCAGGTTGTCTCTGGCCAATCAGGGTCCTTCCCGGTGGCGCAGGCATTGCTCAGCCAAGATGGATGCCAACGAGGAGGGTTGTGTTCCTTATTGGGACCTCCTGTTGTGAAATAATTCATGCAGTGGTTACTTATGCTGCCTGGACAGGGTGGGTGGTTTCAGTCAGTGTGTTTCCCCTAACTCTTCAGTGCATATACTGCTCCATCTATGTGCTGCAGCACCCTCCTTTTCCTTTGGGGTCCCCTGCCTTATCCCAGAGGCCTGTCATAAGTTGAAGTGCTCATGGTAAATAGGCATAACCGTGGAAACCATCTCCACCCAAAAAACAAGGTATCATGAGTTTATGAGAAAGAGTCATGGCTATCAAATATAGTGACATCTGGTTTTGACAATCAAGTTTTGTTTTCCAGATCACCATGATTAATTATGAAGAAGATTAATATGAGAGGCGACTGTCCCCATGATCATCCATCATAAACGTTAAAACCAGTGCAAAATGCAATGAATATGAGTCCTGTGTGATTTTGGTTAATGGTAGGGCTGCTAAAGGAAGTTCTGTGACTACTGAGTGAGGTCCATCTAGTTTTGATCTTGGAAGGCAGGAGTCTAGTTAAGAATGTGTTCCTTTTATAACTAATTTGTTAAGTTGGAAAATAAATTTCCAGGATGACTGTAAGGTCTTTTAGAATTACCAGGTTTCCAAAAGAACCCTCTCACATGAAGAAATTGGCTTTTAAGAAGCAGCTAGAGGGGACTTCCCTGATGGTCCAGTGGTTAAGATTCTGCACTCTCAATGCAGGGGTTGCTGGTTTGATCCCTGGTCAGGGAACTAGACCTCACAGGCTACAATGAAGATCCTGTGTACTGCAACTAAGACCAGCACAGCCAAATAAATTAATTTAAAAAAAGATCCATCTAGATGTGAAATATTTCCATTCCTAGAAGGTGCAGCTTGAGACAATTATGATTCCACAATTCTACCACTCATGCCCACGCAATAAAAGATCTAAATATAAATATAAGTTACAGCAAATGAGCAGATGGAATAAGGAGATAATGGAGAATGAAGTGTGTAGGAGAGAAATCAGCCATGTTGCCCACTCTGTCTTGGGAGAAATATATGGTCCATCATTTAATCTTGTTTCATTCAAATATCAGAAGGGAAATGCACCAGATTTCATCTCTATGCTCCAATATAATTCACTGATTTTTGGTAACTAATTACATAACCATTATTTTAAACACTCTACCACATCAGCCTTGGTTAATTTTTAAAATAGCCTTTATGGGGGGGAGGGGCGGCAGTTTTAGGTTATAGAAAAATGGAGTGAAAAACAAAGAATCCCTCTGTAGTCCCTTGTGCCTTCTTCCACCGCTGGTCTCCTCTGTTATTCTTGCATTAGTGGGAATTTTGTATCTTTATAGTGAATACTTTGTCCTTCCAGGGAGAATAGTGAGTAAGGAACAAATACTCATGCTAAATAATTGCCTTTCTTAAGAAGTTACTTAGTGACTTTATTATAACTTATCCATTCTACATACTCTTATTCAGTAAATTGAATTTCACAACAATCAGTGCTCACTGTGTGGTTGATTACTGAACTGGGTTCTAGGTTCTGGGGAGTAGGTAAATAGGAAGCTGTTTCTATTTACTGTTGAAAGCTTTCCTTTATTTTTAAAGGAAACATTTTTATTAAAATATACAAAGAGAAAGTGCACACTCAAGTGTAGAACTCACTGAATTCTTACACAGTAAACATACCTGTGTAAGCACCTTGCATCTTTGCTTTTCTTTCTAAATGGCGTTATTAATCACATACCATAAAATCCACCCTCTTGACTGCTTCTTAAAAGATTATGGTAAGGGACTTCCCTGGCGGGCCAGTGGCTAAGACTCCCAATGCAGGGGGCCTGAGTTCTATTCCTAGTCGGGGAACTAGTTCCCACATGCCACAACTGAGTTCTCATGCCACAGCTAAAGATAACCACGTGCTGTAGCTAAGATCTGGTGTAGCCAAATAAATAAATAGTTTTAATCAGATTGTGTTAAAAGGTACATAATATAAAACTTACCATCATAACCATTTTTACATGTAAAATGATTTTCTTAGGTTGGCCAAAAAGTTTGTTCTAGTTTTTCTGTAAGGAAAAACCATGTTAGGTGGTGGTGGTTTGGTCGCTAAGTTGTGTCTGACTCTTTGTGACCCCATGGACTGTGGCCCACAGGTTCTTCTGTTCATGGGATTTTCAAGGCTAGAATACTAGAGTGAGTTGCCATTTCCTCCTCCAGGGGATCTTCCCGACCCAGGGATTGAACGTAGGTCTCCTGCATGCAGGTGAATTGTTTACCAACTGAGCCACCAGGGAAAACCCCATAAGCTGTTATGGAAAAACCCTACTGAACTTTTTGGCCAACCCAGTAAATACATTCATAGAATTGTGCAACTGTCCTCATCGCCATCCCCATAACTCTCTTCATCTTGTGAAACATACACTGTACCTATAGCTGCCAACTCCCCACCCCCCACCCATTCCCGGCTAACACCCTTCTACTTTCTGTCTCTATGAATTTGACTATTCTCGGTCTCATATAAGTGGAACCATTTAGTTCATATTTGTCTTTTTGTGACTGGCATATTTTACTTTCATTATGTCCTGAAGGCTCATCCATGTTGGAGCATGTGTCAGAATCTCTGTCCCTTTGGAGGCTGAATAATATTCACACATTGTTTATCCATTCATCTGTCCACGGACCCTGGGGTTGCCTCTGCCTTTTGACTATTGCAAAACGTGCTGCTCTGAGCATGGGTGTACACGTATCTTTTTGAGGCTCTGATTGATGTTCTTTTGGGAATATACCCGAAAGTATAATGGCTGGATCACATGGTAATTGTATTTTCAGTTTTTTTGAGGAACCGCCACACTGTTTTCCACAGCAGCTTCACCGTTTCACACTCCCACCCATAATGCATAAAGGTCCTGGTTTCTTCACATCCCTGTAAAGTGTACCCTTTAAGTTTTTTTAAAGTTATTTTTGTTGAAATGCAGTTGATTTGCAATGTTAGTTTCAGGTGTACAGCAAAGTGATTCAGTTATATATAATATATATTTGTATGTGTATATATATGTGTGTGTATATATATCTTTTTCAGATTCTTTTCCCTTATAGATTATTATAAGATATTGAGCATAGTTCCCTGTGTATACAGTAGGTCCTTGTTAGTTATCTGTTTTATATATAGTAGTGTGTATATTTTCATCTCAAATTCCTAGTTTATCCCTCCTTCCCAATACACTTTCCCCTCGTGTAACCATAAGTTTGTTTTCTATGTCTATAAAAATTTACCCTTTTAATATGTACAGGTGGGTCTTTCCTGGTGATCCAGTAGTTAAGAGTCCACCTGCCAATGCAGGGTCATGGGTTTTAATCCCTGGTTGGGGAACTAGGATCCCACATGCCTCAGAGTAGCTAGGTCCTCATTGCTACACCTGGAGAGTTTGTGTGCTGCAATGAATGATCCTTCATGACCCAATGAAGATCCCTGCATGCCTCAACTTAGAACTGACGCAGCCAAAAAAAAAAAAGAAAGAAAGTACAATTGTTTGGTTTCTTAGCCCATTCACAAGGTTATGCAACGTTTGCCACTATCTAATTTCAGAACATTTCCGTCACCCCAAAAAGAACCCATACACAGTAAGCAGTCACTCCCCACTTCCTCCCCCAGCCCCTGGAAACCATTGACCTACTTTCCATCTCTATGGATCTGCCTATTCTGGACATTTCCTTATAGATGGGGTCATACACTATGTGGTCCTTTGCATCTGACTGCTTTCACTTAGCATCACATTCTTAGGGGTCATCCACGTAGTAGCATGTTCTTGAGGACTTCTCAAGGTGATGTTTCTCTCTTTAAAAAAAATTTATTTGCTGGCAGTTTTGGATTTGAGTTGCAGCCTGAGGGCTTAGTTGCCCTGCGCACACAGGATCTTAGTTCCTTCGACCAGCGATAGAACCTACATAGCCTGTGTTGGAAGGTATATTCTTAGCTACTGAACCCCCAGGGAAGTTCCAAGGTGGTGTCTCTTTATTGGCTGATGATGTGAACCCTCTTCCTCCAGGACTCATGCTAGGATCACCCCTCGGCCCAGCTCTGAGCTCACACACCTTAGTGTCCTGCTGGTTTTACCTTTGTCTTCCAGACCATGACCTGGTCATTCGGGTGGAACAGTTCCCTTCCTGTTTACTACATTCGAGAAAACCAGAGAGTCCTTCTCTACGCCAGTGGTCACACTGGGGTCATCTACAACGTCCTCAAGAACAACCAGCACCATCTTCAGGTTTGCAGGCTTCTCTTACTTCTGGTGAAAGAGGTTGTCGTTAACTTGAATACAGCACTTTGGTTTTTATTCCCAGGACCAACCTCATTCTATCTCAGTCACATGTTCCTTCCTCTCTTCTGAACCATAGCAAATTCTGTTTGCAAACAACTTTTGCTGTTTATGGTCTTTCTGATTCTAATCAGAATCAATTTACAAATAGCAGTTGACTTTAATTTTATAGTAACTAGAGTCTAAAGCATCTGTATTTTTTTTACATTTTTATAAAAATGGGGTCAGGAGAGACCATATTGTCTCCACGGGACAATGATGAAATGCAAAGGGAAGCTCTTCAGCAGGGATTCAGACCTCATTAACCCTTAGCCTCCTTTCCAGGGCTCCCAGGGCTTTGATCCTCCTACTCATGCTGAAAAGTGGTTGTTAATATCCCTATTTCACAGGAGAGGAAACTGAGGCTCAGGTCAATTTAACTGACTGGCCCAAGGCTGCTCTAGCAGGTGGTGAAGCCAGGTCTCAGGTTCGCCAGGTCTCAGGTTCAGGTCTCCTGACTTGAAGGTACTAAGTAGGTCAGTTGTCCTCTCTCTCCTCCCTCCTGCATCTGTTTTTATTTACACCCACTAAGTGCCTCCCTAAATGCCCCACACACCTTCCATCCCTACACTGCTCTGCTTCCTCTGTTCCGGATGTTTTTTGACCCCTTTCATTTTCATTTACCTGTCCAAATGTCATGTTTTTCCAGTGTCTGAATTTCTACTAGTTAACCTGGTGAATAGTTCCACATCACCCCTTTCAGTTGACCTATATTTTAATAAGGACCTTCCTCAGTCAATGCCTAGATCAGAAGCTTCACCAAGTATTTTTCCAAGAGGTCAGCCAGTACTCAGCATCCTGCCAGGGATCCAAGACACATGGGTGTAACTTCAGGAATTTGCTTCCTAGAAGTCCTGAAATACACACAGTCGGCACGCCCTTCTTGGCGCTTAGTTGAATGTGCAGCGCCGAGTGCAGCAGGGGGAGAAGGGACAGTGTGATGATAGGGATGTGGAGGAGGGGCAGATGGGCTGAGAAGCAGGGAGCAGCCAGGAAGGTGTCCAGCCTCCCCAGAGCGGATGGCTGGGTGGGGCCTTGGCCATTCATTCATTTCCATGTGTATTTGTCTTAACCATTATGTTTCAGATGACATCGTGAACAAAACAGATCTAGTTTCCCCCACCATGGAGAGGCAGACATTAACCAAGTGAATGCATAAATATATAACTAAAGATTAGGGACTTCCCCTGGTGGTCTGGTGACTAAGACTCTATGCTCCCAAAGCAGGGGGCCTGGGTTTGATCCCTGGTCAGGGAATTAGTTCCCACATGCCACAACTGAAGATCCTGTGTGCTGCAACTAAGAGCTCCCATGCCACACCTAAAAGGTCCGGCATGCTGACCTGAAGACTGAGGATCCCACGAGCTGAAACTAAAGACCTGGCACAGGCAAATAAATAAATAAAAAATACTTGAAAATTGCATAAAAATAAATATTATAACAATCACTGGAATGGGTATGTGAAATTGCTCTAAAAGAGAAAAATCAAAATCTGAGAAGACTTCCTCTGAACTGGTGGGCAGGGAATAGAAAAGTGCTATTTTTGATGAGACCTGAAGGCTGAGCATGAGCCAGCCAGGGGTAGTTTTGGGGGCAAGAGCATCCCCCACAGAGAGAGCTCCAGGTTGTCAGGCCTTTTGTGTGGGGCCCAGAGAAGAGGCCAGAGTGAGCGAGGGGTTGACATGGAAGGGCAATAGAGGTTGTTTCCTGGCTGCCATCTCTTGTTTGTGTTTCCAGAAGATTCCTTGTTGCATGGGGAGGATTGTAGGAGGATACAAGTGAAAGCAGAGGCCAGCAAAGAGGCTTTGGCTCCAGAGCTGCTCAGGGACCCGAGTGAGCAGTTTTAAGGGAGATGAGGCCAGCAGGGAGGTCCAAGGAGGTGGCACCTGGGAGGACCCAGACATTTATTCTCAACCAGGGTTCAGAGTCAGGTACATGCCTCGACCCCTAGGAAGCTACTGTTCTTGTGGGGAGTGTAGCTTGTCCTGTTAGTGTTTTGGGTTTTTTTAATACTTTTTTTTAACTTTTTTTTTTTTTAATGTGGGTCATTTTTAAAGTCTTTGTTGAATTTGTTGCAATATTACTTCTGTTTTATGTTTTGGTTTCTTGGTCCTGAGGCATGTAGGATCTTAACTCCTCGACCAGGGATGGAACCCACACCCCTTGAATTGGAAGGTGAAGTCTTAACCCATGGACCATCAGAGAAGTCCCTCCCACAAGCGTTTCAAGGGAAAGTTTGAAAACCTCTGGCCGTAGAGTAACACTGGGAAAGTGGGCAGGAGTTGGATGTTCAGCGGTAGAAACCAGACGGGGAGCTCAGGTCTCTCTCTGGGGTCCCGCCTTTCCTGCTGGTGCTGGGCTGGGCCGCATCCTCCGTGTCTCAGAGCACCTTCTCTTCACGTCCGCAGGGCCACCCCAACAACATTTCCTGCCTCTGCATCAGTGAAGACAGGCGCTGGGTCGCCACGGCTGACAAAGGGCCCGGCTGCCTGATCATCATATGGGACTCTTTTACAGGGTAGGCACGCCAAAGCCACCTCCTCCTCATATATGTACAGTAACAGGCTGCTGTAACTCGCAAAAAACAAGACATGCTGGTCTGGGGATACGGAAGCCGGTGCTGGGATGCAGGGCAAGGTGCAAGGGTCCCAGGAGAGTTTGTCTTCCTGTCTCAAGGCCCATGGGAGTGACATTACTTTGGTGAATTTCCCATGGACAATTCTTGGCTCTTTAAGCCCAGAAACCCTGTCGCTCAGATGGTAAAGAATCTGCCTTCAATGCAGGAGACCTGGGTTCGATCATTTTGTCAGGAAGATCCTCTGGAGAAGGGAATGGCTATCCACTCCAGTATTCTTGCCTGGAGAATTCCATGGACAGACAAGCTGGCAGGCAAGCCCATGGGGTTGCAAAGAGTCGGACACGACTGAGCGACTGACGCTACCAGGTACACTGGCCTGAGGGGAGGCCAGTTCACACTCACCCAGCTGGGAGGCCCAGAGAAGTTGTGTGACTTTCACCATCTGCAAAAAAAAAAAAAAAGAGAAGGCTAATCATACCATCTTTGCTTCCCTGGGCTGCTGTGAGAAATTACCTCCAGGGACTTTCCTGGTGATCCAGTGGCTAAGACTCTGCACTTCCAATACAGGGGGCCTGGGATTTGATTCCTGGTCAGGGAACTAGTCCCACATGCTGCAGCTAAAAGATCTGGCACAGTAAAATAAATAAATATATATACAAAAAAAATTACCCCCAACTAGGTAGCATAAATTACAGAAATTTATTCTCTCATTGTTTGCAAGGCCAGACATCTGAAGTCAGGGTGTCTGCAGGGAGCTCCTCGGGGCCCTGAGAGAGAATCTGTCCCACGCTCCCGTCCTGACTTCAGGTAGTCACTGGCATCCTTGGTGACCCTTGACCTGTGGACATGTCCCTCCAGCCTCTGCTTCATGTGGCGTTTTCCCCTCTGTATCTCTCTGTAAAGTCTTTTTTCCTCTAAAGACATGAGTCGCTGGGTTTAGGGTCCTCCCTAAGCCAGTATAACCTCATCTTGACTATTTAGACCTGCAGAGACTCTGATTCCATGTAAGGTCACATTCTGAGGTTCTGGGTGGAATGAATTTTGCGGGGCGCACCATCTGACCTACACTACTTACCTTACGGGATTGTTATGAAGATCCAGAGCACAGTACCCGGCCCAGGGTAGATGCTCAATGTGTGTCCTTTCGTAATTCCTGGTCCTAGAGACAGAGGGCAGTGTCAGTTTCATTGACAAGATTGTAAGGGTTTGATTGGGTGTGGAGGGTGGGGTGGGGAGAGGTGAGGTGGGTTAGACAGTCCAGGTGGAGAGGAAGCTTAGGAAGAAGTTATGTTGAATTTCTGGAAACAGGAACTTCCCTCCTCTGGGTGACCCGTGGCATCTACAGGGCCGTGTTACCTAGCCGCAGTCCTTACCTCGCTTGACCTCTCAGTGGCTTTCAATACCCTTCACTTCCCTTGGCTCTTCTGACACCATGTCCCCTGGTTCTCCGCCCAGTGCTGTCTGTTCCCTCTCAGATTCTCCTCAGCCTTATCCTCATCTAGCTGTTCCTTAGCTGTGGCACTAAGGGATGCGGGCGCTGTTGGTGACGTTCTCCAGCCGGGCAGGAGCACACCCAGCGCTTGAAACCAGACCATCTTTCTCTCAGTGTTTCCTGTGTTTGCTGAGGGGGCGCTGCTGGAGGGCATTCCACCTGCTGGTCCCATGGGCCTCCCCTGCCAAAATGTCCAAAAGTCCTGTGCCTTCGCCTCCAAATAACCTCTGCCTCTGTCCATCCTCTCCTGCTTGGGCCACTGCAACAGCCTCCTGATGGATCTCCCCTGCTCCCCTTGCAGTTTCACTCTTCAAGCCCCGCCCCCCTCATGGCACTGAACCACTTTTTCTTTTAGTTATTTATTTTTGGCCACACTGTGCGGCACGTGGAACTTCTCCAACCACGAATCGAACCCACTTCTCCAACCACAAATCAAACCATCGCCCCCTGCGGTGGACGCATGGAATCTTAACCACTGGACCACCAGAGAAGTTCCTGAACTACTTTTACATGTAAAATTCCCTGGCGTTAATTACATTCACAATGTTAAGCAATCATCACCACCATTTGCAGAACACTTGCACCACCCAACCAGAAAACCTGAAGGAATGAATTCCTCACTCTCCCTCCCCTCAGCCTCTGGTAGCCTCTCATCTGCTTTTCTATCTCTGTAGATTTGCTTGTACTGGACATCTTATGTCAATGGAGTCATACAATACGTGGCTTTTGTGTCTGGCTTCTTTCACTTAGCATAATATTTTCCAAATTCTTGTAGCATGAATCAGTATTCCATTCCTTTTTATATCTGTTTAAGATTCCATTGCATGAATATACATTCTGTTTATCCACTCATCTGTTGATTTTTTTTTATTACTTTAATACATTTTAATTGGAAGCTAGTCTCCTTTGGCCACCATCTCCAATCCTAGTCCTCTAGTCAATTTGGAGCATTTTGTTCCAGAATATTTGCTGTTGTATTAAATACACATGTGTGGCCAACAGCATCGTATGGTTTTCCTCCACAACTTTCTTTAAAAAAGATCTTATTTAATTTATTTTGTTGGCCATGTGGCATGTGGGATCTTAGTTCCCTGACCAGGGATCCAACCCACACTCCCTGCTTTGGAAATGCAGAGTCTTTAACCACTGTATCACCAAGGCAATGCCTTTCCACAACATTTTGAGCTTGATCTTTGAGCCAAATGCAAAATCTGATTGTGCTGCTCCCCTGCTGAGAACCGTCCAGAGACTGCTCATTGCCAATTCAGCCCTTGTTGCAGGGGATTCGCACCTCACACACTAGCCACGCAAACACTTCTGCCACGAAGTGAAATTCCTGTCTGTGTGCCTAGCGGTCATCTGTAGCAATGACATGCTTTTCAGCTGCGAGTAATGACAAAGCTGTCCTGAGGCAGGAAGGGCGGGCCTCTCACTTGTGTCTCTTCTCTCGACCCTTTGCCAACAGCTCCCCTGGCCCAGGCAGAGCTGGCCTCCTTTCAAACTGTGTTTATCCTTTGCTTTTTACTTGTTTATAGAACTGTCTCCCCCATTAGACTGGGGGTGACTCTGCAGTAATTTTTTTCTTTAACTGCAAAGTAAAGTGTGTCTCTGGTTAACAATGCAAATGATTCATTGATAATGAGTTTTACGATATTGGAAATGATGACTTGGGAAACCCAGAAAGGATATTTGGTGTTAGAATTAATATTCACTTATTAAAGTGATAAACCGTACTTCTTCCTTTGAGATATTAGTTCACCTTGAATTCTAACTCTGCAAATCTAGCATGTTTTTGCAGTTGCCTATAAGGGGGGCTCTGATTAGTGTTTGGGCTCACAAATTTTGTTATTATCTCCTTTTAAGCGTTTTAAACTGCATTTAGAATTGGAATATATTCAGTTTCATCTTTAAGTTCTTTAGTAGTCTGATTAACAAATAAATCCTTCATCAGTACTTAAGTAATTCTCATAAATCTAATAAACTAGACATAAATATGGCAATAAGCTAGACATAAATGTGGCAAGTCTTAAGATCTCTTAAGTGTTCTAATATTGTTTATAAACCTAATACAATTTGAATTTAAAATCACAAGTCTAAATCAACTACAGACTGTAAATTAGAATCACAAATTAATCTGTTTGTTAACACATCAGAGACTCTGATATGTTAAGTTCTCTTAAACATGACTCAGTCCTTTAAAGAAAAATCTCTTATCACAGATGTTAATAGCACAGGTCCGGCTGACCTCATCTTCTCTACATTTAATTCTATCTCCAGAGATGAGATACATTTGCCCACAAAGGACATCAGTACGGCATTCCTAACAACTTTAGAACTCCCTTCTCAAGGGAATTTTGGGGGCTGCTTCTCAGTGGCATAAAATTTCTCAAGTGACAGAGAACTAGACAGGCCCTCAGCCAGCACGTGGACTTGGTTCCAGCCAATTGGTACACCAGTGTGACATACTGAGGCCTGTTTACATTAAGATCTCCATTATGAAAAACCAACTGCGGGAACTTGTCCAGAGTCCAGTGACTAAGACTCCCAATGCCCGGGGCCTGGGTTCAGTTCGTGATCAGGAAACTATATCTAGCATGCTGAGACTTAAGAATTCATGTGCTGTAACTAAAGATCCCACATGACACAATGAATATCAAAGATCCCATGTGCTGCAGATAAGACCCGGTGCAGCCAAATAAGTAAGTAATAGAAAAGAAAAACCATGGATTCACACAGCCCATGTACCTGGATTAAGTCTTCCTACCACCGGCTCTTCCTGTGGAGGTCAGGGCCTCCCCCACACCACAACTCACTTCCATCATTTCTTCAACTGTTTCTTTTGTTACGTTGACTCTGTCAGGTATTCATATATTGTCTAATTAAATTCTGCATGTGTTAAGGCTTTGTCTGCTTCATACAGTTCTAAAGTGCTGCCAGTGACATAATACAAACATGTAGAAATTAAAAAAAAAAAAATGAAAGTCCCCCTTTACCCAAGCCTATATCTGGAGTCACCATGTAGTTTGCAGTTCACTCCTCCAGAATTTTTTTTTAATTATGAGTATACACACACACACACACTCTCACACATTCAGGATGATGCTACGTATACCGCTTTGCAATTTGCTTTTTTCACAAGATTTTAGTCATTTTCTCAAATCTACTTCATTCTTTCTGAAGGTGACATTTTTTCTTTACATGGTTTTACCATGCTATTTGTTAAATAAACCCCATATCAATGGATATCTGTGTTGTTTCCAAATTTTTGCTGTGAAAGCCGTGCCGCAATGAATATGAATTGGCATTTATCTCTGTTTACTTTTGCTATTATTTCTCTAGGGAAAAAACAAGTTGTAGAAGTGAAACTGGTGGCCCTTAGGATCTGTGCATTGAAGACTTTGACACGTGCAGCTAAGCTGCTGTGGAGAAAGCCTATGTTTGTTTCTTCTCCCCCTCCTGGAGGAGGTTGCCACTTTCCTGAGAGCTGGGATGGTGTCCGAGGCAGCTTGTTTCATGTTCTCATCCTTCACTCCTGGCCCAGAATTGGCCCTGGATAACAAAGGAGTGACTCGAGCTCAGACAGAGAACAAATAGCATATTTACATACTGCCCTGAGCTTTTTTTAAAAATTAATTTATTTTTAATTGAAGGATGGTTGCTTTACAGTATTGTGTTGGTTTCTGCTGTATATCAATATATGCATCAGCCATAAATATACATATGCCCCCTTCCTCTTGAACCTCCCTCCCACCTCCTACCCCCTCCCACCTCTCTAGGTTGTCACAGGGCCCTGGTTTGAGTTCCCTAAGTCATACATCACATTCCCACTAGCTATCTATTTTATATATGGTAGTGTATATGTTTCCATGTTAGTCTCTCCATTCATCCCACCTTCCCCTTCCCACCCTCCGTGTCCCCAAGTCTGTTCTCTATGTCTGCATCTCCGTTGCTGTCCTGCAAATAGGTTCATCAGTACCATCTTACTAGATTTCATGTATATGTGTTAATATATGATATTTGTTTTTCTTTTTCCTGACTTCACTCTGTATAATAGGCTCCAGGTTCATTCACCTCATTAGAACTGACTCAGAAGCATTCATTTTTATGGCTGAGGAATGTTAAGGGCCAGATTAGAGTTTTTTTTTTTTTAATTAGGGCAGAATTCATGTATGGCTCAGTCACTATAAGAATCTGCCTGCAACTCGGGAGATGGGGGTTTGATCCCTAAGTCGAGAAGATCCCCTGGAGAAAGACATGGCAACCCACTCCAGTATTCTTGCCTGGAGAATCCCATGGGCAGAGGAGCCTGGTGGACTACAAGTCCATGAGGTTGCAAAGAGTTGGACATAACTTGGTGGCTAAACCACTACCACCAAAATTCACGTAGCATAAAAGTAACCACTTTATTTTATTATTTATTTATTTATTGCCACACCATGCACCATGTGAGATCTTAGTTCCCCAACTAGGGATTGAACCTGGGGCCCCTGCAGTGGAAGTGCAGAGTTTTAACCCCTGGACCCCCAGGAAAGTCTCAAGAGTAACCATTTAAAATAAACAATTCGGTGGCATTTCGTGTAATCACAGTGGGGGGCAGGCATCGTCTCTATCTGGTTCCCAAACATTTCCTTCTCCCCGAAAACAAACCCTGAAACCATCAGCAGTCACAACCCACTCCCCCACCGTCCATCCACAACCCCCTGGAACAAGCATACATCTGCTATCAGTCTCCATCAATTTGCCTGTTCTGGAGATTTGAGGTAGATGGAATCATACAACGCACAGCCTTTGGTGTCTGCCTCCTTTCCCTTAGCACCATGTTTTCAAGGTTCATCCATGTTGTTGCCCAGGTCAGTGCTTCACTCCTTTTTGTGACAGAGTGACATTCCATAGTGTGGCTAGACCACAGTTGTCCTGTTCCTGAAGTGGGGGTCCCCCATTGTGTTTTGCAGCATTCCTGTGCACACGATATTCGATAGCTGCCCAGAAGATAACGGCATCAGGGCCATGGCCATCACTCACGACGCTAAGTATCTGGCAACCATCTCAGATGCTGAAATCCAGGTACAGGGCCCGTTGGGGCAGCCAGCCTGTCAAACGTGTCCCCGTGAGCAGCTCTGCTCAGGCCGTGCTGCCTCTCTGGTTCTCTGGGTGCATGGGTGACCAGATTCCCATCAGGGGCTCCCTGCCTGAGGCCAAGCTCACTGTGCATTGCTCAGTTAATGGAAGTCCCTGGGTTACCATGAGAGGTGTAGGTGACTTCAGCAGTGTTCGGGAACCTTCTCTCTCTCCTCTGTTGCTTTCGCTCACAGAAAGTTTGCATCTGGAAGTGGACGTTAGCGGTAGAAACGCCAGCATGCACTCTTGACCTCCCCAAGGAATATGGTTTTCAGGTGAGTTCAACTTGAACCTGTAAAGATCCACCTAAAGTTACCCTGGAGCCAGGTCAAAACTCCTTTTTGTTTTGCTGGAGCTTAGTTATGGTGCACTAGAGCTTTTTAAAAACTCCTATTTGTGTTCTTGGGCTTCCCTGGTGGCTCAGTGGTAAAGATTTCACCTGCAATGCAGGAGACACAGGAGATGCAGATTCAATCCCTAGGTCAGGAAGATCCCCTGGAGAAGAAGTGGCAACCCACTCCTGTATTCTTGCCCGAAGAATCCCGTGGACAGAGGAGCCTGACGGGCTACAGTCCATGGGGGTTGCAAAGAGTTGGCCACTTACTGGAGCAACTATGCATGCATCCATGTCCTTAGTTTATTTTTGGTGATAATAGCTAATATTTTAAATCTCTTCTTACGTGCAGGTTCTGCTAAGTTCTTTGCATGCAGTATCTCACATAATCTATGCAACATGCTAGAAAGAGGTTACTGTGGAATTAATATTACTGCTATTAATTATCAAATAATTGGTCTACAGTCACCCAGCTTTTCTTATTCTAGAAGCATGCTCTGAACCACTCTTCATATAGGGCAACTATCAGTATTCTTGGTTTGCATGAGGCTACTTGCCAAGGGCACCAAGAGCAATGACTCTGCTGCTCTGTACCATCTCAGTCAATCTCGTAGCCTTTGTTCACCTGCACTTACTGCACTGTGCGCCAGGCACTGTGGTCAGGACGTATGTTGCTTGTGTGAACTAGAACCCAAGCAGGGGGTCTGGGTGACTGGGCTCAGCCAGACATGCATCATTATCAGTTTTGTATCCATTTTCTCTCTTTCTCCCCCTCTGCCAACATTCTTCCTGCACCCAGAAAAAAAAAAATTCTTACTTAAAAAAAAAAATTTATTTGGCTGTGCCAGTTCTTACTTGTAGCAAACAGGATCTAGTTCCCTGATGAGGGATTGAACCTAGACTCCCTGCATTGTGAGCTGGAGTCTTAACCACTGGACCACCAGGGAAGTCCCAAATTTCCTTACTTCTTAGAGTTACCAGTCGTACTTGGATATTTAGGATGAGATACCAAAAATATTTTGGGGATTTTGATAGAGATTGCACTGAATCTATAGATCCCTTTGGGTAGTATTGTCATCTTAACAGTATTGCCTTCCAACCCAGGAGCACAATACGTCTTTCTATTTATTTATATCATCTTTAATTTCTTTTAGCAGTGGTTTTTTTTTTTAAATCTCACCAGGTTTTTAGTTGTATTTTATTTTTCATTGGATAATTACAGTATTGTGATGGTTTCTGCCATACATTAACATGAATCAGCTATAGGTATATGTATGGCCCCGACTCTTGAATACCCCACTCCCGCCCCCGCCACCCTCTAGGTTGTCACAGAGCACCAGGTTTGGGTTTCCTGAGTCATAGAGTAAATGCCCCCTGGCTAACTATTTTACATATGGTAGTATATATGTTCCAATGGTACTTTCTCAAATCATCCCCCCTTCTCTCATCCCAACTGTGTCAAAAAGTCTATGTCTCAGCAGTGTTTTGTAGTTTTCAGTGTACAGATCTTTCACTCTTCCTTGGCTAAATTTATTCCCGAGTATTTTTTATGCTTATATTTTTATGTTTTTTATGTGGAGTTGTTTTCTTAATTTTTCTCTCAGAATGTTCATCGCTAGTGTATAGAAATGCAACTAACTTCTATACTGCAGCTTTGCTAAATACACATGGCTATTTCAATTTAAATTGGTTAAAATAAAAGTGTACATTCATTTCCTTGGTCTCACTAGCTACATTTCAACCACTTGTCATCCATGTGGACCTGGTGGCTACCCTTGTTGACAACACACGTGATAGAACATCTCCACCCCCTCAGGAAGTACTGTGGACAGCATGGCACAAACTCCTAGCCTTCTCCCCCCAAGTCCTGGGTGTGTCCCACCATCAGCCTCCTCTGGATCCATGCCCCAGAGGGCTGAATGTGGCTGATGAGAACCACCCAACTGAGCAGATTCATCTTACTTAAAATTCAGTCAAGACTTTCAAGGGGGCTCTCAGCCTGGCCTGGCTGCTCTGGTAGACTGTCGTTTTCATTTGTAGAGACAACAGTTTCATAGCTGCTCCTCCCATCTCCCACTGCCCTGCCACCCACACTCAGCTGATGACCTCTACCCCTCCTGTTTCACTGAGAAAAATGGAAGCCATCAGATACAAACACCAGCCTGTTCTCCCTCCCAAATCTGCCGTGTGTGTGTGTGTGTGTGTGTGTGTGTGTGTGTGTGTGTGCGCGCGCACATGCGCACACGTGCGCTCAGTTACTTCAGTCATGTCCGACTCTTTGCAACCCTGTGGAATGTAGCCTGCCAGGCTCCTCTGTCCATGGGATTCTCCAGGCAAGAATACTGGAGTGGGTTGCCATGCCCTCCTCCAGGGGATCTTCCTAACCCAGGGATCAAACTAGTGTCTCCTGCATTGTAGGTGGATCCTTTATCCGCTGAGCCACCTGGGAAGCCCTGTAAATCTGCCACACACCTTCAACCTCACCATCTTCTCTTCCCCTCTGACTGCAGTGAAGGGCCAGTGCACTAGTTCCTGGCTGCCTGAGGCCCTTCTGCAGCTCTCATCCCTCCCTCTACTACACATAAACATGCTTTAGGACCACTGATCCTGAGAGAATGCTCTGACCCCACATCTCCTTCCAGCTATGCCCCCTGCTCCTCTTTACAGGGAGACTTCTCAGAAGCGCCATCCACACTTACTTTCTCTACTTCCTCATCTCATATCCTTTTTTTTTTTTTGCAGGCAATATTTGACCTCTTTGTGTTTTGTTGCTAAATAAGGCATACATGCAAAACGTGTATATCTTAGAGAAGAAAATAAAATGTACCTGTGTGCTCATCACAGGATCATGGAATAGAACGTTACCTTAACCCTAGAGGCCCCCTGTGTGCCCCTTCCTGATCTCATCCTCGGTCTTGCTCCCTAAAGTTAACCATTATCCCAAATTTTGTATTATTCATGCCTGTGCTTTACTTTTCTCCGGTGACATATGTATCTCTCAATACTATCTGTTTTCATTTTACCCATTTTTGACCTTTCTATCTTTGTGACTGGGTCTTCCCTGGTGGCTCAGCGGTAAAGAATCCACCTGCCAGTGCAGGAGCTGCAGGAGCCATGGGTTCAATGCCTGAGGTCAGGGAGATCCCCTGGAGTAGGAAATGGCCACCCGCTCCATAGTCTTGCCTGGAGAATCCCATGGACAGAGGAGCCTGGCAGGCTACAGTCCGTGGGGCTGCAAAGAGTCAGACATGGCTGAAGTGGCCAAGCATGCACGTGTTTGGAATCAGAATAATTGTTTGATCTGCTCAGCGTTGTTCTGAGAAGTGCCCATGTCGATCCTTGAGCTGTAATTCCTGTTCACCTCCACTGCTGTTTTGTTTTTTGCTCTTTGAGTGTTGCAGGACTTATTTATCCATCCTCTGTGGATGGACATTTCCCTCTTCCCATCTGTCCTCCACCCACCCACTGCTCTAACAGAACTGTGCTGCCCACGGTCACTGGTATCCCCAATCAAATGGACATTGTTTTTTTAAAAATAGCTTCCCAATGGGTCTCCCCATTTTTAGTTTTTAATTTTTACAGATTTTATTTTAAAAAATTACAAAAAAATTTTTTTGGCTATACTGGATCTTTGTTGCTGCTTACAGGCTTTCTCTAGTTTTGAGCAGGAACTCCTCTCCAGTTGAGGTACAAGAGCTTCTCATTGAGGTGGCTTCTCTTATTGCAGAGCACGGACTCTAGGGCTTAGGTGCTCCTTAGCATGTGGAATCTTCCCGGACCAGGGATTGAACCCATGACCCCTGCATTGACAGGTGGATTCTCAACTACTGGACCATCAGGGAAGTCCCACAACTGTCAATCTTACTGCTATTTTGAAAGTTATGTGTCTTTTCCCCCACCTCTTGCTGCTTTTAAGATTTTCTCGTGGTTTTCAGCAGTTTTTTGATGGATGGTATAACTATGTGTGTATGGATATGTTGTTGTTTTTTAAAAAACTTTATTCTTTGGGTTTTTTGAACTTGAGATGTCATGTTTCCTCAGTTTTGGAAAACTCTGGCCATTGTCTCTTCAAACATTATTTCTGCCACATTCTTTCTTTCCTCTCCTTTTGGGACTCCAGCTATATGTAAGTTAGACCTTTTCAGCTTGTCCCATAGGTCTTTTATTCTCTTTTCTGTTCTTCTATGTCTTTATGCTTCATTCTGGATCTTTTCTCCTATAATTTAGCTTCCTTTTTTACTGTTAATTTGGCTTCCCTGGTAACTTCTTTTCTACTAACAAATTATTTATTTGACTATATTTAATTTTCTGTTAAACCATATTTTGAGTTTTTAAAGCCTTTTTTTTCAGATCTAGAAGTTCCATTTGATTCTTTTTAAAAATAGAGTTATCTGGTGGCTAATCATCAGGGAAATGCCAATCAAAACCACAATGAACTATCTCCTCACGCATATCAGAATGGCTATCATCAAAAAGGCCACATATAGTAAATATTGGTGAGGGTGTGGAGCAAAGGGAACCCTGGGAATGTAAATTGGTGCAGCCATTGGAAAACAGTATAGAGGTTTTTCAAAAAGCTAATAGTAGAATTTCCATATGACCCAGAAATTCTACTCCTGGGCATATATCTGAAAAAAAATTACTGATTCACAAAGATACATGCACCCCAATGTTCAAAGTAGCATTATTTACAATTACCAAGATGTGGGAGCCACCTAAGTGTCCATCAACAGATGAATGGATACAGAAGGTGTGGTACATGCATTCAGTGGAACACTCAGTCATAAAAATTACCTGGTGTTTTCTTTCTGTAGACCACTCATCTTCCTCCTTTTCAGTCATATGACTCTTTCATATGCCTGGTTATTTTTCACTGAATGCCTGATGTTGTACTTTAAGAAGAATAGGAATAATTTGAGGCTCAGGATGGTAATAACTTTCTCCAAGGAAGACTTAGTTTTGCTTCTTTTGGGCCTTTGGCAAAGCAATCACCTCTATCTCATCAGAGATTGAGGTGACCTGAGGCTGATTTTCAGCCTTTGTGAAGCCTCGTCCATGTACTTCCTTTCACCAGGTCTTTACCCGACCCAGACCTTTGTGCTGTCCTGAAATTGATCCTCAGACGTTAGCCTTGGTAGCTCACATTCCTGAAGTGATGCAGCAAGCAAGGGGCAAGAAGTCAGTGATGGGGTGGAAGGGGCAAGAACGGAACTTATAAAGCATTTCTTGAGCCCATCTCTCAGAGCTGCCTCCTGTGCACCCCTTCCTGTTAGACTGCAGCCACCCGCCTCCTGCACACATACCATTTCAAGACTTGCACTTAAGTGTCCCCAGGGATTCCTCACTTGTTTTAGTTGTTCTGCACTTCAGGTTTCCTTCACTTCTATAGTATCTACAGGGTTGGTTTTTGGGAAGGGAGCCAGGCAACCCATGCTATTCACCATCTTGGCAGGAATCAGAAAATCTTTCCAATATTTTGTATTCATTCCAAGTTCCCTTGTGGCCCCGTTAAATTTAGAAATGAGTACACAGCAGCCTTTGTCCAAAAGGACACAGAATAAAGGTTATTGGTGAATACTGGTTTACTTTTGCTTGTTCCAGTTTATAGATGATGAATTATAGTAAATAAGACTAAATAAGAAAGGAAACACGTTTGAGTTCATTCATTTTCACACTCAGTATTTCAGTTATATTCCTATTGCTTATAAAATGCCATGTGTTTTCTGTTTTATATTCCTACTCAGTTATTTATTTTAATTAAAAGTATTATTTAATTTAATTTCATTTTTTGGCCATACCACCTGGCTTGTGGGATCTTAGTTGCTCCACCAGGGATTGAACCCATGCCCCCTGCAGTGGAAGTATGGAGACCTAACCATTGGACCACCAGGGAAGTCCCCAAAATATTATTTTTTTGTTGTTGTTGTTTTTTGTTTTTTTTTTTAATTAATTTATTTTTTTTAATCACAACCATAGTGTATCTTTTTTCTTTTTTTTTACATGTATTCCCCATCCCGGTCCCCCCTCCCACCTCCCTCTCCACCCAATCCCTCTGGGTCTTCCCAGTGCACCAGGCCCGAGCACTTGTCTCATGCACCCAACCTGGGCTGGTGAACTGTTTCACCCTAGATAATATACGTGTTTCAATGCTGTTCTCTTGAAACATCCCACCCTCTATTATTTATTTTAACATCCAACTTAACCAGAGAGAGACAGAAAATTTTTTATTATAATGTAATATATTTTAATATCTTATATTTCAGAACTACCTAATTTTTAATCCAACAAATAATAAAGAATTGGTGAGCAATAGTAAAACACAAGCAATATATTATACGTGGGTAAGTAGAACTGTTTTCATTTGTTTTAAATATATGGACGAGTATCTGTTTATTCTTTGAGTACAGATGTTTTGGTAATGTAATAATATAGTATCTACTTAAAAAGCAATAAACATATTAAAGTATTTTGATTTAATTATAGCATTTATTTTAGCCCCACTGGAAATTAGCATATTAAGCCAGAAGCACATAATTTAAATTCTATTTAATTTTTTAAATTAATGAAATGAATATTTTTTTGAATGTATTTAAGGCCTAAGATATAGGAGTTTTCAAATCTTGGACTCTTTTCCCCTTTTTTAAAAATTAATTAATTTATTTTAATTGGAGGCTAATTACTTTACAATATTGTAGTGGTTTTTGCCACACATTGACATGAATCAACCATGGGTGTACATGTGTCCCCCATCCTGAACCCCCGATTAGCAAACAGATTGCTGATAATGTATACTGACACAGGGAAAAATCATGGTTATTAAAAAGACATCAAAATGTAAACCTAAAATTACCATATGACCCACCAGTTTCCAGGTATATACCCAAAATAATTGAAAACAGGCATTCAAACAGATAATTACATACAGATGTTCAGAGCAACAGCATTATACACAATACCCAAAAGGTAGGAGCAAATGTCCATCAACTAGTGAATGGATAAATCCAATGTGGTCTATCCATATGTGGAGTATAACCTAGTCTTTAAAAGGAATGAAGTGCTGACACCTACTGCAACTGTGGATGAACCTTGGGAACATTATGGTCAATGAAAGAAGCCAGACCCAAAAAGCCAAATACCATATGATCCCATTCATAGGAAATTTTCAGAATACCTGAATCCATAGAGACAGAAAGAAGAATGGTGGTTGTCAGGGAATGGAGGAGTAGGGGATGGGGGGTGACTGCTTGATGATAGGAGGGTTCCTTTTGGGGTGATGGAAGTGTCCTGGAACCAAAGAGAATAACAGTTGCCCAGCATTGGTTATGTATTAAATGCCACTCAGTTGTACACTTTAAAATGGTTAATGGTTAATTTTATGTTATGTGAATTTTCCTTCAATAAAAAATGCAAAACAAATTTACAGTGATAACTCATTACTTCAGGTATTAATGATAGCTTAAACCCTTATAAATGCAGAAGTCAGATCTGCATTAACAACCACTTAAAATCACAGTCATTTGTGGCATTATTTATTTATTTTCTTTTAGAATGTTTTTAGATGTTCCTGGAGATAGCAGGTTCTCCTACCTGTAGAAATTGCAAAGCTCTGCCCCTGTTTCGATGCATTTGTTTTGATTTTGCTGTTATGTTGCTTTTCTTTTGGAAATGGCTTTTTTTTTTTAGTAGTGATTATTTTTTCTGTGCTTATCAGTATCCAGAGGGAGGCATACTTGTTCACAGTGCCCCGCTTTTAACAGAAAAAGTGAGTATGTGTTGTACTTTTATATGCCTGACTTTGTAGGAAATAAGTATGTGTGTGTGTCAGCCTAGTCACTTTGGGTACTCTGTGTGTGTCTTGATATTGGGAAATAATTTGAAATTTTTACTGAGGTCCTTTACCATACTGAATGGTCAGTTTAAAATAATGGAAGGATTTTTAAAAATAATATAGAATACAAATAAATGGCAAAGAGGTACATGTATATGTATGGCTTAATCCCTTAGCTGTTCACCTGAAATGGCCACAATATTGTTAATTGACTATACCCGAATACAAAATTAAAAGTTTGAAAAAATTATAAATTTATCCTGCAATATTGAAAATAAATGGCAAAGGAAATTTACTACCACAAGCAAATACCCAAGAAACTGGTGGCTTTTATAATGTATGTGTGCCTGTGACAAAGGATGAAAGTTAATTTGTGGTGATGTAAGTAAAGTCATTGGACATGAGTGGATCCCTTTAAGCTGCTTAGTTTTTAGAACAATTAAAAAATGATATGGAGGGACTTACCTGGTGGTTCGGTGGTTAAGAATCAACCTTCCAATGCAGGGAGCGTGGGTTCGTTCCCTGGTCACGGAATTAAGATCCCACATGCCTTGGAGCAACCAAGCCCACGTACCATAACTGAAGTGAGCCCACGTGCCATAACTAGAGAAGCCTGCGAGCCACAACGAAAGATCCTGCGTGCCACGACTAAGACCTGACACAGCCAAAAATAAATTTTGAAAACTGATATTGGGTGTTTAGCTGTTTAAGGTCCAGTAGGAAGGTGGTGAGCCAGGTGTTGGCAGAAACATTTTATCCTGCCGGCTTTCCTTGAGCGATTGCACCAGGGGTGGACCTTGAGTCCCGTCTCCTGCATCAGTTTCTGTTTCTGATACTCATGGAACCTGCTCTCAGTGTGCACCTTATGATGATTTTTCTGTTTCCTTTCTTCTTTTTTGATTCAGTCTATAAAACTTTACTTTTCAAGCAAGCATGCAGGAAGAAAAAATAGAGAGAGACAGTGGACACAAGGCAAGAAGATGATTCTGTCTACAAACTCAGCTTTTTATAACTCGAAGTATCAAAAACTAAATACAGTCAATTCTCGTTATTTGCCATAGCTATGTTCTGTAAGGTCTCTGCAGACCTGAATTAGTGGATGCTGAATCGTAGCTCCTAGGAGAGTTGTAAGAACAGGTTCCTGCCAGCTTAGGGTCATCATACTTTCATCAGCTGACAGATCCATGACCTTGTTTTATGTATGTTTCTGTTTAAAGATACCATATTTAATTTATAACGTTAGTTCCTTAACGTTGGAGTCAAGGTTGACAGCACCAGGTAGAACTCAATCTGAATAAGGCTTATCTAACACAGGTGAATTCTCTGGAAGGCATGTCACAGCCTTCTCGTGCTCAAGAGCACCATATGGTATTTTAATACCATGTTCAGGAGCCAATTTAAATACCAAAATCACCAATAAAAAGTACCCCCCCAAAAAGACAAGAGCAAACATCATGGCAGTAAAGACCAGGCTAAGGACACTTGCTTCCTGAGAGCTGAAACCAGATAGATAATTGCCTTGCTTGACCTCAGCTGGGAATGTCAAGTCTTTTGCCACTCGGCACACGCACACATCTGCAAATGATTGTGAAGTGCCACGAGGATTGCTTTAGAGGTTACACATACATTTCAGCACATAGGTAAATTCACAAAAATGGAATCCACAAAAAATGAGAATTGGCTGCAGTTTAAAATGATAAAAACGCCTCGTGTTGAACAGGGCTGCTTTTAGACAGAATGTACTGTTTGTGCTTGACCAGTTGTACTTCTGCTGACCTCAAAGAGGTCCACCCTCGGCTTTTCTCTGCCTAAGTAGAGAGCCAGACAGCAGACTTGCTGTATCATGACAGATCACTGATTTCCTTCGTGTATTCATTCAGTAAACATTCACCAAGGGTTCACTCGCTGCTCTGCGTTCTTTCTATACTTCGTCTCTAGGACACTGTCAGAGAAAGATGGCCTGGTGCCTTATCCTACATAGCATACATTTAGTAAGGAATCTTAGGGGCATTTCTGTGTAAAGCACTTACTTTCCACTGATGGGAAGATGATTTATGATCAGACGAAGACTGGGAGAATTGTTTTATGATTTTTTACAGCTGGAGCATGCTTTTGTTCATGACAGACATTAGTTTCCTTATCAGTCTCTGAAAACTCTGAAAGAGAAGTTGTGCAGGTATAAACAGTGATTAACCACTCTTTCTTTTGCTTTAAGCAAACCATTTAATTAAGTCCGTACGTAACCCTTCACTTGCTCTTAGCAAACCCTCAGAGGTTCAGAACTGCCTGGATCATGGCAATCCTCAGGGAAGTGTTTTTTAAGTGATTTTTTTTTTACTTTATTTTTTTCCTACTATATTTAGGTGAAACATTATAAAACGTTGTGCTGATAAATGTTTTGTTTTATATTTACCATCAACGGTAACGTGTACATATAACGTGCAACCTGTCTTTTGAAATACAGACATTCAACAAGCTCGTGGGAAAATTTAGCCAGTCTATCTTTCACTTGAATTTAACCCAAATACTGTCCGCGACGATGGAAGGGAAGCTGGTTGTCTGGGACATTTACCGCCCACTGCCATCTGCCTCCTCCTCCATGGGCTTTCCCCATATCAAACCTTGCAAACTGGTTCATTTGCAGAAGGAGGGTATCACTGTGCTCACTACAGTTGACAGGTAATTAGTGAATGAAAAAGTAGCTGTAGATGATTATAAACTTATCTAAAAACCCTTTTGGAGGTAGATACATATTTTGTATATGCAAAGATTGTTTCTGGGGAGAACCAATTTAACTGGGAACATTGGTTGCCTCTGAGGAAAAGAACTGAGAACCAAGATTAAGGACAGGGGTGGATTTACTTCTTTTTATAGTCTCATTTGTACTAATTGGGTTGCTTTAAAAAAAAAAATTGCATGGGCATGCATTACTTTTAAACCCAATCCTTTTGGGTTGGTGAAACAAAAAGTAACTTTTTTTCTTCTTCTGCCCTAATTAGACTTATTTTGCACCCTAAATTTTACATTCTTTCAATGGAAGAATATGGCATAAAGAGCTATTTTTTTTTCCTGATGACAAAATAACATTTGCCAACCATGAAAAGATGAAATACAACAAAACTTTATAGAGTTCCTTAACTCTTTGATTTTGAGGGGCTGTGGGGATCCACAACTGATCTCAGCCTCATGCCTTAGCCTCAGACATAAAGGGGTTCACATGCCAAATACATTCCTTCCTTGCTGAGTGACCTGGGACAAGGGACTTAAATGTACCAAACCTCCATTCTTCCATCTGTAAAGTGGGCCCCATAACACTGTCCCTCTCTGAGTGATTTTGTGAGGATGTCTTGCTGGATCTTAGTTTCCTGACCAGGGACTGAACCTGTGTCTCCTGCAGTGGAAGCACTGAGTCCTAACCACTGGACTACGAGGGAATGTCCCAAGGATTGTAAAACTCCTAGCACGCTCTCAGGCTCAGGGGAGCTCTAGGTACCACGGCCCTTGTCAGGGTGCTAGGGAAGTTCCCCTAAGTGCTGGAGACAGTTGACTCATGACGAGGACCCTGCCCACGTGGTGGGAGTCACTGTGCCCTCTGCTCTCCAAAGGCCCATTGCTCTCCTTCCCCTTTCTTTAATATAGGGTCTATATTAAAGGTCTTCCCCTTTCTTTAGTAATAGTGAGGCCCTGGCGTGGCTTGCAAAGAGAAATGCAAATCGTCATCTTCACCCAGTTGATGGGAAAAGATAGCAGTAGAATCACACCTGATGAAGCAGTCAACTTTAATCATTGGGGATTAGTACCCAGGGAAGACCATGCTTGGGTTCCCCTCTCTCCATGTTAAGTAAAACACAGCCAGGGGACTTCTGCGGCAGTCCAGTGGTTAAGACTCTGCACTTCCAAGGGAGAGGGCGAGGGTTCGGTCCCTGGTTGGGGAAGTAAGATCCTGCATGTTGAGTGGTGCAGCCAAAACAACAACAAAACAAACAAACAAAAAACCCCAGCCAGGACCAGGGAGCCCTTGCAGGAAGAAGTCTTAACAAACACTGGAGACACACACAGAAAAACACATTCGCCTTGTTTTGCTGTTTCTGTCCAGCAGAGGGCAGTGAACGCCGTTCTAGCCAATTACTCTGCCCACTTGCCTTGCTTATTAATCAGAAACCTCATTTAATCGCTTTATATGTGTATATATATATATGAGAAAATTCATCCCCCACACCCCCCCGTGATTAGAATTAGTGTCAGAGGCTTAAAACAAACAAGCTTATTGGGATGGCTCTGAGGAAATAGAAACCATTCTGTCACGCAGCACTGCCTTTGGCTGTGATGACTGGACAGGGCTTTACGATCCCTCTCACAGCAGTTGTCTCCCTGTGTCCCACTGCCAGCCTGTGTGACTTCAGAGGGACGGTAGCCGGACTCTGTTGTCATCTGTAGTCTGTGGTGGAGAGTGGAAATCACTGCCCACTGCCACTGCACAGGACTGACCTTGGAGGGCAGGGCAGAGGAAAGCAGAGAGCATGGACTTCGTGTTGCATACACTTGGACCCCTGCATAGTCTAGCCATGTGGCCCTGATAGGGTTGCCAGGTTTAAGTATGTCCTGGGACTTCCCTGGTGGTCCAATGGCTAAGACTCCGATCTCCCAGTGCTAGGGTGTCTGGGTTCGATCCCTGGTCAGGAAACTAGATCCTACATTGTACAGTGAAAGATTTGAATGCAGAACTCAAGATCCCTTGTGCTGAAACAAAGACCTGATGCAGAAAATAAATTAAATATATATATATATATATACACACACACATATATATATACACACATATATATATATGTCCCAAATACTGCATGAGGCAATTGCATTTGGGAGCATACACTATTTGGGACATACTTATCCTATAAATTTACTCATGGTTCATCTGAAATTCAGATTTGACTGAGTATCCTGCATTTTTACTTACTAAATCTGGCAATCCCAGGCTTTAAACCTTAGTTTCCCAAACGGGAACTGGGAATGACAGTAAATCAGCCACATGGGGCCATATTCAGTGAAAGTTTTTACAATGCCTGGAGTCTAGAGGCTGGCATATGTGTTCAGTAGATGATAGTCAGTATCATTATTTAACCTACAATGCAGGAGACTTGGCTTCGATCCCTGGGTCAGGAAGACCCCCTGGAGAAGGAAATGGCAACCCACTCCAGTATTCTTGCCTGGGAAATCCCATGGACAGAGGAGCCTGGCGGGCTACAGTCAATGGGGTCACAAAGAGTTGGACACATCTTAGTGACTAAAACACCACCACCACCACCACCACCACCATTATTTAACAAACTGACTTTATCCTCTGTTTTCAGCTATATTGTCACAGGCGACATTCGGGGCAACATCAAGTTCTATGATCACACCCTCTCCATTGTGAACTGGTACAGCCACTTCAAACTCAGCTCCATAAGATCCCTGTCCTTTTCAAAGACCCCAGCAGCTCCTCCGACCGAAAATACAAACTATCCTCCAGACTGCACTCTAAAAAGTGACCATTTTGTTGTAAGGTGAGTTGTTAACTGTTGTTGTTGTTCAGTCGGTAAGTGTCCGACTCTTTGCGACCCCATGGACCACAGGCAGCGTGTCAGGCTTCCCTGTCCTTCACTATCCTTTGGAGTTTGCTCAAACTCATGTCCAGTGAGTTGGTGATGCCATCCAACCATCTCATCCTGTGTCATCCCCTTCTCCTCCTGCCCTCAATCTTTCCCAGCATCAGGGTCTTTTCCAGTGTGTTGGCTCTTCATATCAGGTGGCCAAAGTTGGAGCTTCAGCTTCAGTATCAGTTTTTCCAATGAATATTCAGATTTGATTTCCTTTAGGGTTGACTGGTTTGATCTCCTTGGGACTCTCAGGAGTCTTCTCCAGCACACAGTTCGAAAGCATCAGTTCTTCAGCGCTCAGTTGAAGTTGTTCATGAACCTCATCATTGGAATAGTCAAAAAACTGTCTTCTTTTAGTTTGTGTACTGTGGTATCTTCTTCCTGTTCCTGGAATGTGAAATACAGGGAACCTGGCCTTTCTAGTTAGGCCTTTCACTGGGTCAGAGATGGATCTCCTTGGCTGATTATGATCACTGTTTAATCTTTTTTTTTAAAGTGAAACATCATTCTCCTATTAAGAATGTTTAGTGAAAAAAAAAAAGAATATTTAGTGATAGGAAACTGGAAATGGCTCTGATCTCAGTTGCCTCTGGAGTCCTTCATTGTAGGTTGGTCTCCTTTCTCTGAGCTGAGTTTGTTCTAGCTCTATGGTTAAAGGGATTTGATAGTGAATAGCCATAACATTTCAAGACAGAATTATCTGTGAGCCTGCTTAATTACCCTTGCCATATTTGCAGGCACATCTGTATGTGTGCACCCAGCCCCATATTTGCATACACAAATGAATATTTGCATGCGCAGATTAGCTAATTGTACAACTGACTGTCCATCTGCATACTTAATGACTCAATTTACATGTAGAAATGTGGGCTTTTTCACTTGCAAATGGAGGCTGTTGGGTTTTGGTGGCGTATTTTCGGAGATGCTGGGTTAATAATGTCACTAAATTACAGACGACAGAGGCGTTTCATGCGCAATTAGAATTGCTGGCGTGCCCTGTTCCCTGCAAGTGCTGATACGGGCTGGTCTCTCCTTGGCAAACAGGAATTTTATCATCGGAACATCAGATGCATCAGTGTACCACTTGACAGTAGATGGGACTAAACTTGAGAAGTTATTTGTTGAGCCCAGGGATGCCATTTGTGCCATCTCCTGCCACCCATACCAGCCCCTCATTGCCATCGGAAGTTTCTGCGGGATGATCAAAGTGTGGGATTATGAACAGAAAAAATACCTCTTCAGCAGAGTCTTTGAGAAGGGGCTTGGAGTTCAGAGTCTGACCTACAACCCTGAAGGTATTTTCATCTTATCCACCTGTCTTAGGTTCTAAACCAAAAACAGACCCAAATGGCTCTGCCTTCAGCTATAACAGCTCCAGGAAGGTGACCTTGACCCACTCCCCATACCAGGCCAGATGGGATGCCTGGTCCCCCTGGATGCTGCAGAACTCTGTACCGCCTGGTCTCATCCCATGGTGCCATGTTTTCCAGTTTACTCCTCCCTCTCAGGACCTTGTCTGTCCTGTTCGTTGCTATCTCCTTGGCACCTCAGACAAGGCTCGGCACAGAGTTGATATTTCTTAAGTCAATGTAGTCCTTTTCTTTCTTTAAAAAATTGTATTTGTTTATTTAGCTGTGTGGTTCTTAGTTTAGGCATGCAGAATCTTTAGTTGCAGCATGTGAACTCTTAGCTGCAGCGCATGGTATCTAGTTCCCTAACCAGAGATTGAACCCAGGCCCCCTGCACTGGAAACTCAGAGTCTTAGCCCCTGGGCCACCAGGAAAGTACCAGTGAAAGTCTTTTTCGATCCTTGTTCTCCTACTTGTGATTTCAGGAGCTCTGCTTGGAGCTGGCTTCACAGAGGGGACAGTTTACATTCTTGATGCAATGTCCTTAGAAAGTGCAATCTCAGAGCCTTTCAGATACTCCAGAAGCAGCGTGACTCATATCAGTTTCTCCCATGACTCCCAGTACATGGCGACCGCTGTGAGTATTGTCACTGAGTGAGGTCCTGTGGCTCCGCAACCTCCTTTAAAGCCGCAAGAGGAAGGATTTGGGATGTGCAGGTGGGGGTGGGGTGGGGAGGGGGGGCTCCAGGGTACGGGTTTCTTTGGGGGGGGGGCGATGAAAATGCTCTGAAACCGTGATGATGGACGCACAACTCTGTGAATATACTAAAAAAGTCAATTGAATTGTACATTTCTGGTGGGTGAGTTGTGTGTGGTGTGAATTATATCTCAATAAAGCTGTTATAAAAAGAGAAAGGGATGGGGAAAGTGGGGCAGTGGGTGGGTGGGAGGCACTTCTGCCTGAAAACAAGACCAGGGCCTCAGAACTCCCCGACTCGGGGCTCTGCCACTCCGACAGCTCGTGTTGGTTTGTTAGTTTTTTGGAACCCTCTCTGCATCCTGGCTTTCATCTTGCCCTTTGATTTCTGACGAGATGACATTCTCATTTATCTCAAGGCAATGTCTTCTGCCGAGCATTTTGGATTCTGTTCCTTCCCTCTGTGAATAGGGCTCTTAATCTCAGTAAAGATTTTTCCCGGACCCCCGACCTCTCCCTTCCCCTCACTTCTCCTGGGAGAGAGGGTGGGGATGCAGGGCAGTAGCTGCTGACACCCTTGACTCCAACTCGCTTCCCATCAGCACAGCGACTCAGGTGTCCCGTGTCCCTTGAGGCTGTTCCCGCCTGCTCGCTGTTTAGCTCTCAGCCGCCATGTATGTATTTTTTAATCATACCTTTTAAAATCTTGTGTAGCTGGATAAAGAGAAGGGCGGACAAAGGCAGAAAGGGTAGGGATTTCAGTTTCCAACAGAGAATTACATGGGCACCAGCAAGGAGAGAAAGACCATAATGTTAGACAAATACCATCTCTGCCCACCCCACCACCCCTCTCCCTGCCTCATTGCCTGCCACTACCTACTTTGAACTCTGATTTTTCTCATCTGCTAAAATGGGTATTATTTAACCACTTGTTCCAATAGACAGAGGTTTTCTTTTGGGATAAACTACTCTAAAAGCAAAGTTAGCGTGAAAAACACAATGATAGCTCTTAACTTACAAAATTGAGTAAGTTCTGCTCTTTCCCTCATACTCAGGATGTCAGTTTCACTGTGGCTGTTTATGTGGTGAGAGTCAAACACAGACGAAGGGTCTGGGAATACTTGGCAAGGCTGCGCTCTCACCGCAAGAGCATTCGAAGTGTCCTGTTTGGGGTTCATCTGGACAGCAACGAGCCCCGACTGCTGAGCCTCGGCAGAGACAGACTTCTGGTGAGCTCCTTTGCTTTCCTTTGCCTGGTCCTCAGGACCGTGTCTCACTCTTGTTATTTCCCTGGAGTCTGGCAGTATGTGTGATTTGTTGGAGAAGACGAATATATGGGGACTTCCCTGCTGGTCCAGTGGCGAAGACTGCACGTCCCCAATGCCCAGGTTTGATCCGTGGTCAGGGAACTGGATCCCACATGCCACAACTCAGAATTCGAGTTGGCAGGTGAAGATTCCCATATGCTGCAACTGAGACCTGGCACAGCCAAGTGAATAAATTAAATAAGTAAACGTCTTTTAAAAAAGAAAATGGATGTATGATGAAGTAGCAAAAACCATTCTGAGTTGGCACTTGGCTTCCATGCAGCTCTGACACCACACTCATGTCCTGAGGGAGGAGGGCCCTGGGAAATGGCATGTTGGTGGAGTGGAGGTGGTCCTCCCCACAGCGTGGACAGCTCAGCCACCTTTGCCTCTCCGTGGACATTTGGAAGCCAGCGCCACAATCCCTGTGTCTCGGAGTCGGGGCCAGGCTGCTACCTCCATGTGACAACCCAGAGAGGATCAAGAAGGAAAGGGAGTGTCAGTGGCAGATGTGATATTACATGCTTGAACCCAAAATCAATTGATTTATCTGTGCGTCCATCTTAACTTCCTTCCTTTCTGCCCCTTACTTCCTTTATTCTACCCATTCTTTTTTTTTTAACAAATATATTTAAAATTATATTTATTCATTTATTTGACTGCACCAGGTCTTAGTTGCAGCACGTGAGATCCTCAGTCTTCATTGCAGCATGTGGGATCTAGTCCCACAACCAGAGATGAAACCCGGGTCCTCTGCATTAGGACTTCAGAGTCTTAGCCAGAGGACCACCAGCAAAGTCCCTATTCTGTCCGTTCTTCCATCCACCCATCATCTATCCATCCTTCCTTCCTTCCATCCATCCTGGTCTGGCCACCAAAACCTACCTATGGGTGAAATTCAGCAGACTGCTAATGTATGACTTTCAAGAGCTGAGATTTAGCTATGAATTAGTTCCTACTCACAGAAAGTTCCCAAGATAATGCTAAGTGAAGCAGGACAACAAAGTCGTAAGAGTTCAGGTTCTAGAGTTAGTTGGACCTAGATTTGAATTCTCAGTCTACCACTCCTTGGCTGTGTGACCCTGGGAAAACCACAGAATCTCTCTGAACATCTGTTTTCTCATCTGCAAAATGGGCATAGCAGGACTGTACCGCTGGGGAGTTGTATTAAATGGCATCATCTTGCTCAATATGGATACTCCATATTGGTAGTTTATTAGGTGTAGAAGTTCAGGCAATTCTCTTAAAAGGCCTGATACTGTCTTCCCCAGAAAAGGATTGTTGACTGACTTCATTCACCTCAGTCCTCATGTGTATGCATCTGGGCTTCCCTGTAGATTGAGTACAACCTACTCAAGAGCTACAAAGATCACCTGGCAGTCCTGGACGTTCACTGGACTGACCAGGGTAGCTACCCCACCTGCATGGTCTGGTACCCGCCGCTCACCAAGGAGCTCTTCCTGCTCATCTGCAACAGTAGCTACAAAGTGAAGCTTTTTAACTCCACCACAAAAATGTGCAGGTAAGCCAGGAAGCTCCCCGCAAATGGTGCATAAATCAATTTCTCAGTCCCAGGTTATTTCAAGTCCCACCTTAAGGACCTGCAAACAGCTTGCCTACCATTACAACCCTTCTTACTTTGCAAAGTAGGAAACTGAGGCACAGATAAGGTTAGTTGTCCTTGCCCAAGTTCACATGGTTAGAAAGTGCCAGAGACAGGGACTTCACTGGCAGTCCAGTGGTTAAGAATCCGCCTTCCAGTGCAGGGGCTGCAGGTTCAATCCCTGTTCGGGGGGCTAAGATCCTACATGCTGTGGGTCAGCTAAGCCCGGGCACCGCATCTACTGAGCCCAAACGCTCTAGAGCCTGTGTGCTGCGACTATAGAAGCCCATGTACCACAGCGAGCAGTCCGTGTGCAGCAATGAAGAGCCAGTGTAGCCGAAAATAATTTTAATAAGCAGATAATAAACTGCATTGGTAACATCTAACAAAATTTGTAAAAGGAAGTGCCAGAGGCAGCATTCGAACCCAGAAACGTTGTTTCTGAACCCAGTGCTTCACGGGGATAAGGTCCTCAGAGTGCGGAGACAGAGAGTCAACGAAGGAACAGACCCCGTGGCCCCGAGAAAGCTGCTCATGTGCAGTGGAATCTCCTGGAAAAAAGGGGTTTCACCTGAATACTACCAGCTGTTTGATCTTTCTCATTCTTGGTTCTTAAAGAAGTTATAAGTTCAACTTGATAGCACTCTTTCTTCTCTCAAGCCCACGATATGGCCTATAGACCACCCTGTGGACTGTAGCCCTCCAGACTCCTCTGTCCAAGGGACTTTCCAAGCAAGAACACTGGAATGGGTTGCCATTTCCTCCTCCAGTGGGTCTTCCCGGCCCAGGGGTCTCCCGCATTAGCAGGTGGGTTCTTTACCGCTAGCGCTACCTGGGAAGCCCCCTTGGTTCTCTCAGCAGGTGTTTCCTGAGCCCCCGCCTGAGCCAGGTGCTGTTCCAGGTGCTGAAGATGGGAATGAAGACAAAACAATGTTGCCGTCACCATGAGATTTGCATTTTATTGGGGGAAGTGAAGTTCAAGTTAGAAGTTGGGCTGAAGATCCATATTTGAGGTCAGCACACTTGGTGGTTTAAAACATGAGACAAGAGAAGATTCAGGAGGGGAAGGGTGGATAGAGAAGAGGTTAAAGGACCAAGCCCGGGGTATCCAAAGCTTAGCATCTTAGAGCACTGGTACCTCCGTCCCGAAATACGTCTACACCTGTGGTTGCCCTCTTGCGCTGCTAGGCTTGTGAGTCCAGGGTTTGTTCCTCCTGATCAGTGTGTGACCCCTTTGTCGGGGCCCTGCATTCATCATCCCATTTCATCTGCAACAGTCCTGCAAAGGATCATGCCACTGTAGATCAGACAGGTGACAAAACCTGCCCAAGATCACCAAGCTTGTCAGGGCAGGACTTGCCCCTTGAACCCACCTGTGACTGTCCTCTCTTTGGCATCGCTGGTCCCCGATGCAGCTCTCACAGAGGTGAGGATGCTGTGGTGACCCCACCTGGGAGGAGGAAGTCGGAAAACACCACAGCAGCTGGCCCCATGCTTGAGGAAGACCATTCTTCGGAAATGTATCTCAGATAAGATAGGTCTTCAAAAGGCCAAGATCACTCAGGGTCTTTTTTTTTTAATTGCCCTTTTTAGAAGGGCCCATGGGTTTGAGTAAACTCCGGGAGCTGGTGATGGACAGGGAGGCCTGGCATGCTGCGATTCATGGGGTCACAAAGAGTTGGACACAACTGAGCTACTGAACTGAACTGAACTGATGGGAAAATGACTAAGATATGCCATGTCATGTGGCAGGGACAGGAGAGAAATACAGCACAATTTTTTTTTAAATCTATTAAAACACTGGGAAGAAGACATTTGAAAGAAATATGTAAAAAGGAGTTTTAGGAAGATTTCAGAATCTTTCTACATCTTCTTTAATTGACACAAGCTTTTTGGACAAAAACTATCTCATAGGGACTTCCCTGCTGGTCCAGTGGCTAAGACTCCATGCTCCCAATGCAGTGACCCGAGTTTGATCCCTATTCAGGGAACTAGATCCCACATGCTGCAATGAAGAGCTTGCCTGCTATAAATGAAGATTCCACCATGCCACAGCTAAGAACCAGCACAGCCAAATAAATAACATTAAAAAAAAAAAAAAGAATATCCCATAGATGTGCCCAGTTCTGAGAAGCTCTGAGTTGGCTGAGCAGGTGGCTGGGGGATGGAGCTGCCCAGACTTGGAGTTCCTCCTCACAGTTAGTAATGGGAACTCAAAGCTGAACGGTTAGGAGGTTCTGCCATTAAAGATCAATGGGAAATTGGTGTAGAGCGTCTTTCTTGTTTTAAAAAATGTTTCCACCTGTTGCCTTTATTGTTGCTGTTATTTTTTATTCCAGTTTAATTGAGATATAATTAACATACAGCACTATATAAGTTTAAGTGTACAGCATAATGATTTGACTTACATACATCATGAAGTGCTGTTACAGGAAGTTTAGTGAACATCAGTCCTCTCCTATAGCTACAAAATTAAAGAAATAGAAAAACATTTTTTCCTTGTTATGAGAACTCTTAGGATTTATTCTCTTAACAACTCTCATCTGTAACATGCAGTAGTGTTAATTATATTTATCATGTTATACATTACACCCCTAGTGCTTATTTTTCTTACAACTGGAAGTTCGTGGCTTTTGCCTGCCTTAATCCAACTTGCCCTCCCCCCAACCCCTGCCTTCTGATAACCACAAATCTGGTCCCTTTTCTATGAGTTTCTTTGTTTGTTTTCGAAGTATAACTGACCTATGACACTATATTATTTCTTGTTACACAACATAGTGATTCTATGCATTTATTCCTATTTCTATATATTTCAAGATGATCACAACAATATGTTGTCATACAAGGATATTACATAGTTATTGACTATATTCTCTGCATTGTACGTTTCATAACTGGGACTCATTTATTTTGTAACTGGAAGTTTGGACTGCTTTATTTTCCTCTCCTATTTCTTTCCTCCCCCACAACCCTCCTCCCCTCTGGCAACCACCTGTTTGTTCTCTATATCTATAACTCTGTTCCTATGTTGTTATATTTGTTCACTTGTTATTGTTTTTTTTACCTTCCATATATAACTTAAATCATACAGTATTTACCTTTCTCTGTTTGACTTATTTCACTAAGAGTAATACCCTTCAGGTCCACCTGTGTTATCACAAATGACAAGATTTATATTCTGTCGGATATATGCACTACATCTTTATCCATTCATCTATTGACGGACATGTAGGTTTCCTCCCCATCTTAGCTATTGTAAATAATGCTTCAGTAAATATAGGGGTGTGTATACCTTTTCGAATTAATGTTTTCATTGAGAGCCATGAAATCAGGCATTTCTGCCATTGAAGAGCAATTGGAAATTAGTATAAAGCATCTTTCTTAAAAAATAGTTTATTAAGGTAAAATTCACATGACGTAAAACCAACCATTGTAAAGTGAACAATTCAGTGGTATTTAGTCCTTTCACCACCTACCTCCATCTAGTTCTAAAACATTCTCATCATTCCAAAGTAAAATCCCTGGCATAAAACATCTTTTAAGCTGTAGGAATAATAAAGCCCCGTAACCACAACTTAATTGGGAAGGAATTGCCTTTTGATGATAAATCCAAAAGAATTTTAAAATGCATTTTAAAATATTTGAAAGAGACTCCTATGTATAGAACAGACTTGTGGACTCTGGGAGAAGGAGAGGGTGGGATGTTTCAAGAGAACAGCATTGAAACACGTATATTATCTAGGGTGAAACAGTTCACCAGCCCAGGTTGGGTGCACGAGACAAGTGCTCGGGCCTGGTGCACTGGGAAGACCCAGAGGGATTGGGTGGAGAGGGAGGTGGGAGGGGGGACGGGGATGGGGAATACATGTAAAAAAAAAAAAAAAAAGATACACTATGGTTGTGATAAAAAATAAAATAAAATAAAATAAAAAAAAAAAAAAAAAAAAAAAAAAAGAACATGAAGAGGCAGTTCAGAGAAAAAGGCCAATAAACCTATGAGCAGATGCTTACCAGTACATCAAAGATGCAAATGAAAAGAAGACATCATTTTTCACAAATCAGATTAGCAAAGATAAAAATGATCGATAGCGTCAAGTGTTGGCAAAGTCATAAGACACTGTAACAGGCTGCTAGCGGCCGGGTTGGGGGGTGTAGTGTAAATGGGGACAACCTTTTGGGAGAGCAATTTGTTACCCTCTATTAAATTACAGCCTGTCTTCTGACTTCTAGGAATGTAGCCCACAGAAGTACTCACACAGGATGCTAAGACATAAGTAAAAGGATGTGTTGTTTGAAAATATTTTAAAAAATGGAAACACTCCAAATGTCCATTAATAGGGGATTAGTTAAATGATGGCTTGTCAGTACACTGAAACATGATGCTGCTTTTAGAAAAAGGAAAAGAAAAAAAGATAGCTCTCTGCATAGTAACATGGAAATATCTCTAAGACATAAATGAGATAAAGTAAATTGCCAAAGAAGTTATGAATATATTTTCATATAAAATTATATTTATGTAACTTATATATTTTCATCTAAAATTGTAATTAGGTGGGCTAGAATATATATAAAGTTGTATACAGCAAATTATTACCCATGATTATCTTGGGATAAAGGGTGTAGCCATGTAGAGTTATGGGTAGATTTTTCTACTTTCTGTCTAAACATTTGAAAATTTTCACAATGAATATGTAAAATATTTTCAATCAGAAGAAAAAGACGTTAATTTTATGAAATTGTTAGAAATCCAGCAGTACTGTGAGCAGTTACATATCTCCTACTATGTGCTGAGTATCCTACTATCTCCTGAACCGTGCTGAGTGCTTTATATATATATTAACTTATTTAATGCTGACTATAGTCTTATGGGGTAAATACTATCATGATCCTTTTTTTACCAATGAGGAACCTGAGGCCCAGAGGGGTTGAATAGCTTAACTTTTTTCCTTTTGCTTATTTATAATTTAAGCTGGAATTCATATACTGTGACATCTACCATTTTCAATGACTTTTTACTGCATTCACAAGGTTGTGTAATCATCATCACTATTCCATTCAAGAACATTTTCATTACCCACTAAGGAGATATCCCAAACCCACTAGCAGTCATCCCCCATTCCCTTTCTTTCCCACTGACCCCCCCCCCCCCGGCCCCCGCCACAACTATCCATCCCTGGCAACTACTAGTCTACTTTCTGTCTCTATGGATTTTTCTGTTCTGGATATTTCATGTAAATAGAATCATATCATATGTGACTTTTGGTGTCTGGCTTCTTAGCATCATGTTTTCAAAGTTCAGCCATGTTGTAGTCTGTGTCAGTGCTTCATTCCTTTTAACGGCTAAGTAATATTCCATTGTATAGACAGACCACATTTTGCCTATCCATCCATAAGTTGTCAGTTGGGTTGTTTCTACTCTTCGGCTCTTACAAACATTTGTATACAGGTTTCTATGTATACATCTGTTTCATTTCTCTTGGATACAGACTTAGCAGTGGAGTTGCTGAATCATGTGGTAACTATATTGAACAATTTGAGGAACCGCCTGACTGTTTTCCACAGTAGCTGCACCACTTCACATTCCTGCCAGCAATATATGAAGGTTCTAGTTTCTCTACACTGCCCTAATTTTTAAGGGTCAGAGCTGGGATTCTCACCAGAGTCTGTGCTCTTAACCATCCTCTTCCCTGCATCTACCCATTGAATAATACTGGTTTTTATTTTGTTTGGCCACACCATATGGCATGCTGGGGCTTCCCTGGTGGCTCAGAGGTTAAAGAGTCTGCCTCCAATGCGAGAAACCTGGGTTCGATCCCTGGGTAGGATCCCTGGGTCCAGAAGATCCCCTGGAGAAGGAAATGGCAACCCACTCCAGTATTCTTGCCTGGAGAATCCCATGGATGGAGGAGCTTGGTAGGCTACAGTCCATGGGGTCGCAAAGAGTTGGACACGACTGAGCGACTTCATTTTCACTTTCACTTTCTATGGCATGCAGGATCCTAGTTCCCTGACCATGGACTGAACCGGGCCTCCTGCATTAGGAGCATGGAGTCCTTACTACTGGACCACTAGGGAAGTCCTACTTAATGATATTTGAGGAAGGTCTTTAAACATTTCTACTCAAATGATTAGACAAAGCTGACTTAAAATTAGCTGATGCATTGTCTATCATCTGGTTATTTTAGTATTTTTAACACTTCGCCTAATTCTCTGTGTATATAAGCCTGATCATGGATCATCCAGCCTGACCCCTCCTGCATCCTGCAGCCCAGCGGTCACAGTCAAGTCTGCCTTCAGAGTTTGCCCATGCTCACCATCTCGGTTTTACCTTCCTTCACCCTCCTCCCCCAACTCCTTTCCCCTTTACCGTTTCTGCAGGTTTCAAGCAATAGTCCACATCCCATATGTTTGATCTCCTGTGCCCACTGCCTGTTTTTCTGTTACTGCCCTATGTTTTTCTGCTTTTGCAAACTCAGATGTCTTCTGATAGATGTCTCATCACTCCTTCCTCAGCGCAGGCTCCATGCCGGGTGTTTGCTGTCACCTCTCTTCTCCCCTTGTGGCGCTTCCACAGCTGTTGTCCCTGCAAGGCAATGAGCTCAATGGCAGTAACTACCTCTCACTCATTTCTGAGTCCCGAGCCCCTGTCACGGTGCCTGGCACAGAGAGGTGCTCAAGAAAGTCATACAAGGAGTGTGTCCTGTCCCCAACCAGATATGGGCTGGGTACAGGAGATACAGGGAGAAAACACATCCAAACAACAAGGGGCTTAAAATATAAGTTGAAAAAGCTTCTGGCCTTATTCAGGGGCAGACTCAGGTTTTGTGGGATGTGAAGTGTATTCGAATTTGTGGGTTCTCTCTCTCTCTCTTTTTTTTTAATTAAAAAAGAGATGTAGAGACTTCCCTGGTGGTCCAGTGGTTAAGAATCTGCCTTCCAATGCAGGGATGCAGGTTGGATCCCTGGTTGGGAATCTAAGATCCCACATGCTTCAGTTCAGTTCAGTCACTCAGTCTTGTCCGACTCTTTGCTACCCCATGAACCACAGCACGCCAGGCCTCCCTGTCCATCACCAACTTCCAGAGTTTACCCAAACTCTTGTCCGTTGAGTCGGTGATGCCATCCAACCATCTCATCCTCTGTCGTTCCCTTCTCCTCCGCCCTCAATCTTTCCCAGCATCAGGTTCTTTTCCAATGAGTCAGCTCTTTGCATCAGATGGCCAAAGTATTGGAGTTTCAGCTTCAACATCAGTCCTTCCAATGAACACCCAGGACTGATCTCCTTTAGGATGGACTGGTTGGATCTCCTTGCAGTCCAAGGGACTCTCAAGAGTCTTCTCCAACACCACAGTTCAAAAGCATCAATTCTTCGGCGCTCAGTTTTCTTTATAGTCCAATTCTCACAGCCATACATGATTACTGTAAAAACCATAGCCTTGACTAGACAGACCTTTGTTGACAAAGTAATGTCTTTGCTTTTTAATATGCTGTCTAGGTTGGTCATAACTTTCCTTCCAAGGAGTAAGTGTCTTTTAATTTCATGGCTGCAATCACCATCTGCAGTGATTTTGGAGCCCCAAAACATAAAGTCAGCCACTGTTTCCATTGTTTCCCCACCTATTTGCCATGAAGTGATTGGACCAGATGCCATGATCTTAGTTTTCTGAATGTTGAGCTTTAAGCCAACTTTTTCGCTTTCCTCTTTCACTTCCACATGCTTGGGAGTGACTAAATACTCATTGAAACTACTGAGTCTGCATACCACAACTAGAGAGTCCGTGTGCTACAACAAAGATCCCATAAGCTGGGACATCATGCAGCCAAATAAATTAGTTGGTTAATATTAATTATAAACAAATATATATAATTTTTAATTAAAAATATATATAATTAGGAATAAATTAAAAATGGCAAGGGCCCCTCCCAGGCCTCCAGAAGGTGCATGTATGAGGGAGGGGTCCTGCAGCTCAGGTTTTGCCAGCTTCAGGGCAAACCCAGCTCCAGGCTTGAGGTCACTTATGGCAGCCTCACCTTGGATCAGTTTCCTAATTACTGTAAGAGAGTCTGAATTCAGAACTCTGACCATGATGGGGGTGCAATTCATTAGAGTGTGATGCACAGAGTTTCTTGGGGACCCTTGAGTTGCTCTCAGACCTGCTGTCAGATGTCTGGACACCAGATGGGGTCTCCTTCTAAGATCCTGGGCAACCCTGGGAGGATGGGGCTGTTTCCTCACATCCTGTCCATGCCCGTCTTGTCCTTACAGCATTTTCTGCATCCCTTGTTTGTGTACACATTCTCGAGGCATGATGGTCCCTTCATTCAGCTGTCAAGGGGAAAGTCAGAGCCTCGGCCAAGAAAAGCATCCTTCACAAGCGAAATTTCCCTGGAACATCTGGAGCTGTTGCCCCTGATTTGCAGCCACTGTTAGCAGTTGAGAGAGAGGTCTTTACGATGGGCTTAGCTAAGCAACGAGAAACTCAAAACTTAAAACGTATAGGGTGGACTTCCCTGATGGTCCAGTGGTTAAGACTTTGCCTTCCATTGCAGAGGATGCGGGTTCAATCTCTAGTCAGAGAGTGAAAATCCCACATGTCTCACTGCCAAAATACCAAAACATAAAGGAGAAACAATAGTGTAACAAATTCAATAAAGACTTTTAAAATAATCCACATAAAAAAAAAAGATCTTTAAAACATGTGAGGCATTGTGAAAGGGAACAAGTCATAAAACCTGCTTTCAGATTTGTGGAATTCAGAAAGTGTTTCTTTTTTTTTCTCTTGCAGGAAGACACTCCTTGGGCCAGTTTACGGATCTCCCATAGAGCATATACAAATCCTCCCAGTGAAATCCACTCTGGAACTGCAGAAGCGCTACATGGTGTTCATTAACAGAGACAAGGTACCAGCGGTTTGCCCTCTGCCCCACTAAGATGACCACATGTCTGGAATGGGAAGCAGTCATAGGTGTTACCAGACTTAAGAACACTGGCTTTCCCCAAGCCCGAGACTCTCATCCTGCTCCACACTGCAAATTGCCATAATTGAGTGAGGATGACTCTTAGGAGACTTCCCTTGTTTTCTCTTCTCCCCAAAGTACACCAAAGGATTTTTCCTTTCCTTTCCTTTTCTTATGAAGACAAGTTAGTTACACTTAGTTGTACATTTAATGACTAATCTAAGGACTTCCCTGGTGCTCCAGTGGCTAAGACTGTGAGCTCCCAACTCAGGGTCCCTGGGTTCGATCCCTGGTCAGGGAACTAGATCCCACTGGCAGTGACTAAGAGTTCACATGCCGCAACTAAAGATCCTGCACGCTGAAACAGACCTGGCACAGCCAAATAAATTAATTAATTAAAATAAATAAGTTTTAAAAAAATCTACAAGTCTATATGGGAAAGTATAAGATCAAAATGCCATAACTATCCTGGAAAAGCCTGGACACCTGACCGTGAAGGTAGGAGGGAAGTTTCCTTTCTGTGTTCCTGGTAGAACCAGGCATCTCCCTCCCAAGGGGCCACCCTGCAGAGCGCAGTGCATGTGAAGCCCCAGCCATGTGAAATGCTTGAAATCCAGCCCTCACATGCTGAGAAGGTGGTTCCAAACCCACAGGTCCTTCTCACAAACAGATCTGGAGCTGACAGCTGACTGTGCCAAGTCTGGCCTGGGGCCTGGGTATCTCAGTCTGAGTATCTAGTTACTTCTTCCTTTCAAGTCTTCCCTGGTGGCTCAGAGGTTAAAGAGTCTGCCTGCCATGCGGGAGACCTAGGTTTGATCCCTGGGTTGGGAAGATCCCCTGGAGAAGGAAATGGCAACCCACTCCAGTATTCTTGCCTGGAGAATCCCATGGACAGAGGAACCTGGTGGGCTACAGTCCATGGGGTCACAAAGAATCGGACACAACTGAGTGACTTCACTTTTCTTCCGTTCTAGGTTGGACTTCAGATCTTACCAGTTGATGGCAACCCACATAAGACCTCTGCCCTCATATGCCACCCGAACGGGGTGGCTGGCATGGCCCTCTCCTATGACGGCTGCTATGTCTTCACAGCAGGAGGGCAGGATCGGTCAGTGGTGCAGTGGGAAATCAACTTAAGGTGCGTGCTGCGTCGAGAAGCTTGGCCCCCTAAGGAGGGTGTCATGTGTACACCCGTTCTTTTCACTCAGCAACAGCAGACAGGTATTAAACCCCTATGATGGGACTTCCCTGGTGGTCCAGTGGCTGAGACTCCACGCTCCCAATGCAGGGGGCCTGGGTTCTATCCCTAGTCAGGGAACAAGATCCCACATGCTACAGCTAAGAGTTCTCATGCTGCAACTGAAGATTCTGAATGCTGTAACTAAAAAAAATAGAAGAAAAGATCCCACATGCTGGGGCAGACAAATAAATAAATATTAGAAAAAGATAAAAACAAAAACACCCTACAACATGCTGGGCACTGTGCTAGGCCTGCGGGTTTAAAGACAGCCAAGACTCAGGCATGGCCTTCAGGGTGCTCCCTGAGACACTTGTTCATATTAATGGGCAGACAGCAGGTTACTCTTCTGTCTCAGGGACCCATGGTATTCGCAGGCAAGGCCATGTCATCCTACCTCGTGAACCCATGCCCCTTTCCCCCAAAATACTTCTCACTGTGTTGCCTGAAAATCCACACCAGCTAGAGACATTGAGCCCGAATCTCCAAAATGTGTGTTACAGAAATAGTAAGAGTATTATTTGAAATGTGTATTTTCAGTCTTCTCTTTTTACCACCCTGCCCTGAGCTGCAAATTTCTGCCTAGGATGAGGCTGGAGAGTTCCATGATCGGGCATAGGAGAGACATAGACTTTAAGGTCAGAGGATATCGGTTCGAATCCACAGACTACTGTCTGCTGGCTGTGGGACCTAGGCTGCCCTAGGTCCCGGAGATTAGCATCTCTGAACTTTAGATTCCTTGTTTGTGAAATGGGGGGGTGGGGGGCATGGGGGGGGTGGGAAGGAGGCAACAATAGCGACTTTTATAGGATCCTTATAAGGATCAGGTAGGCAAACATATGGAAAGCACACAGCACTGAGCTAGACTCAGAAAACTAATGATTTCCTTTCATCTCTTCTTCCTTATAAAGGCATTTGCTTAGGAGCGCAGGATCTTTCTTATTAAAAAAGAAGGTTAGAGACTCCCCTGGCGGCCCAGTGGTTAGGACTGCATGCTTCCATCACGGGGGCCGCAGGTTCGATCCCTGGCTGGGGAATGAAGATCCTACATACTGAACAGTGCGGCCAAAAAATAGTAATTTTTTTTCTTTAAAAAAGATTTTACCACTATAGTAATCTCCTCATTTCTCCAAATTCATTGAACAGCCACAGGGCAGAGCCAGTTCCTTTCCTGACCACCTTCTCCATGCCCCTTTTCCTGGCAGGGTTCCATGAGGAGCTGGGTAAAAACAGCCCAGAGAAAGGTACCTTCCTAAAAGAACAAACCCAGTTTGTTTGTTGGGTAAAAGGGTACCCCCAGTAAAAGAATACTCCCTAGGCTTCCCTGGTGGCTCAGTGGATAAAAATCCACCCTTCAATGCAGGGGACACAGTTTTGATCCCTGGTCCAGGAAGATTCCACATGCCATGGAGCAACTAAGCCCCATGTGCCACAACTGCTGAGCCTGTGTGCTGCAGCTACTGAAGCCATAGAGCTGGTGCTCCACAAGAGGAGAAGCCAACTCGTCGAAACTAGAGAGAGCCCACGTGAAAGCAACAAAGACCCACCGCAGCCAAAACTAAATAAAACATAAAATAAAAGTATACCCCCCACCGTGTGCCAAGTGCACATCTCTCTCCCGTGGCAGACATCGAAACTTCTCCCCTTCACGTGAGTAGAAGCAGGACCAGCCAGGTGAATCCGCTTTGGAATCTCAAGGGTGTTTCAGATCACAGTTGCAACTCCGACCTTCCCCTCTGTTCTCCCCCAGGAGGGCAGACTTGGGGATTTAGAAGCTGAAGGTGAACTCTCCCCTTGAAAAGAACTTATCGCGTCTCCAGCATGAGGTGTTAGTCCTCTGACACCTATAGCCTGTTACCCAGACGGGTGGGGTCAAGCGACATCCTGGTGGGAAGACAGAATCTTCCTTTTTTTTTTTCACTTTTGTCCTCTTCTCAATCATCTTGAGATCTGGAATGGCAGAGATTTAAAAAGAAAAAGAGCACTCGCTTTCCAGTAGCTTTCCTGAACATGGCCAGAATCCAGGCTCGCGAGAATTTCAATTTAATCTGTTGTGGGGACAAAGGATCATTATAAACTAATTAGCACTTCATCACTGCTTCTGGTGTTTTAATATGTTCAGTGCTTCACTAATGGGAAGAAATGTAAAAACCCGAAACAAGTAAACAAGTGAAATTTCCTACTAGGTCTACTGATGGCGAGTTGTAGGGTAAAATGAAGGTGATAAATCCTGTCACATTCACATCATCTTAACCAGCAAACTCCTAGGCCCCCGAATTGTCATTGCAGCATCTCAGACTTCCCCTGGGAGACCCCTTCCCTTCATCTTTCACCCAGAGTCCCCCACTTGTACTTTCCCTTCCCCTATCTTGGGTAGCAGGCCACCCTTTTTCTCTCCTTGTCTGGCATCTGTTTTTAAATCCCCCATTTTTGTGCTCAACCTCACACCCACCTGGCATCCTGCTGTCTTGCTCAGACAGAAAGACCCAGGTTCAAATCCCACCTCCCATGCTACTTGCTGACCTGAGGCAACTCCCTTCCCTTCCTTGAGCCTCAATTTCTCCATCTGTTAAAATGGGAATATTACCCCTGTTTCAGAGCTGATTTGTTTGTTTGTTTTTGATCTCTCTCTCTCTCTTTTTTTGGCAGTATGGGGCATGCAGGATCTTAGTTCCCCCATCAGAGATCAAACAATGCAGTGGAAGTGCCAAGCCCTAATCATTGGACAGCCAGGGAATTCTCCCTCCACAATATCTTTATACAAATATAAGTATATATATTCATACTGTATGCTCTACGTACCCATCTGCACCTGCATTTTGCACTTGGCAGTATATTTATTTGGCTGCACCTCAAGTCATGTGGGATCTTAGTTCCCCTACTGGGAATTGAACCCGAGCCCCCTGTGGTGGAAGGTGGAAGTCTTAAACACCAGACAGCCAGGGAAGATCCCAGAGCTCTTTTGAGGATAGTGATGTCTACCATTGCTATCCCCCCTCCCCTTCCCTCCCCGTCTCCTTCCCCTCCCCTTTCCCCTCTGCTAGAGAACCTTTACTGAACACCTGCTCTATGTTGGTTGCCATCTCACAGCTTCTCCGGCTTTGGATCATTCCCCAAAGTACTGACTAGATTCCTGGGCACACAGTGGGAAGAGCATTCTCAGTAAATGTGCCTCCCCCTTGTGCCCCAGTGACCTCTTGTTTTGTGGTGAGTGTTAGAACCCAACTTGGGCAGAAAGGGGAAGTTAGGAGCAGTCCTGTCCTGGGATCTCAGGTCACTTCACTGCGAGAGCAGCCAGGACTGCCCACCCTCAGCATTTGCTCTCTGCTTGCCTCTGCCATCACCCGCTGTCACTCGGCAGAGGTGGGTTTCATCACTCGGCGGGAACATGGCCTCTGACGGTTCCTAGATTCCCCCAGCTCTGGTGGAACAAGCCCAGTCAGTCCCTCTGGCTCTCCCAGCAGCTGATGGTAGCTAGGGAGCCAGGGGCATATTGCAGCTCTGACCAGCGGAGGGCTGTTCCCATAGGATGCGGAGCTCTGAGAGCCTGTTCCCTGGGGCTTTCCTGGTAGTGACAGACTTTTCCATGTCACATCGGGCCTTTAAACTGGCCCTGCTTCAGAACCACAGGGCTAACCGTGGCCTCTCTGCCCACAGTGCCTGTCGAGATTGGGCCTGAGCCTGGCCTGGGAGCCTCAGAATAGGCGCCCTCTTAGCCGGACTCCTCCGTCGATGGCTAATTGTCAGAGCCAAGAGTTGGGTGAAGGCTGGGCCCTGCTGGAGACGGGCCTCAGGCCCAGCTGGGACCCAGGCCCACCTGGAGAGTACACCAGCTCCACAGACCACCAGCAGCCTTCCTGGATGGGGCTTATGCGGGGTCCTGATTGAGGACTGAGGATTCTTTGGTGGCGGACTCCTGCAGGAGTGGTGGAGGTTTGACCCAGTCAACAGTACTGATAACCCTGGGCCAGGCCCTGGGTGCCGTGCTTTCCACGCATTGCCTGATTTATCCTCACACCGATCTGGCGACACAGGGACTGCTGACACCGCCGTTGTACAGGTCTGGAAACTTGCTCCAGGGGCCTCAGGGGATGCCCCAGCCATGGAGTGAGGTGGTGAGGCTGTGGATTCACATGCTGTCTTCCTGATTCAATTCCGCACTTCAGCAAAGATTTATCACAGGAGAAAAACAAAGGGCTTCATGTCCAATCCTTTATGTGCATTCACTTTAATTTTCACAACTGTCTTGTGAGGCAGACCCTGTAATTATTCCCATTTTTCAGAATAGGAAACTGAGGCCCTGAGTGGTAAAGCCACTTGCCCATGATCACCCTGCTCTCTGGAGGCAGAGCCAGGGCTCACAGGCATGTCCCTTTGACTCCAGATTTGGTATACTTCACTTCCCCACCATGGTCTCTACAAAGTGTGCCTTAATCATCCTCCAAAGAAGCTAGTAGTCTGATTATCAGAAATCCAGTCAGTGGATTTTTAAAATGATTTTATATTATTAGCATTTTGTATGAGACAGAGTCAGCCTCACATAAAAAGTAGCTTTTCTTACCACTTAAAGGGCCTATTTTTGGAAAAATCTGACCCTGTGTTAGAGAGCAGAGGGTTATTTTTATCTGACCAACATGGGTCCCTTGTGGCCTCCTGAGTTTTTATGGAAGCAATTAGTGCTGGCTGTCCACCTGTGCCACATCCCATTCCCCTGTCTCTGGTCACATGCAGATCTAAGGTTACAGCACGGCTACTCTGCTGGAGGTGTCCATGAGCTCAGCACATGGGGACCCTCCTCTCCCTCCAGAGGATTTTCCCAAAGATTGCAGACACATTGCCAGGCGCCTGCCCTGCCATCCAAAAGAGAGTAGCACCATCTTTAAGACGGGGCCCCGAGCCGCTGGGTTCCATACCTTTGAATTTTCCATTTGCAGCTTCATTTTGGAGGGAATTTGCTTAGCAAGTTTACAAAGACCCTAGCTGTATCCACACTGTAATACCCTTCAGAGGTCTGCAGCCTGCAGGACTTGCGGGCCATCGCGTTCCCGCCTGAGTGCTCTCTAATAGCGATGTTTCTCTTATTGTTCTAGTGCCCTGGAGGCAGCAGTTTCTCTCGGGGGTGAAGACCTGACCCCGTTCTACGGTCTGGTGTCTGGTGGCAGGGAAGGAAAATTCTACAGGGTAATTGTCCTCAGAATAAACACTTCCCCATAACATCTAGTTAAGTTTGTAAAACAAATGTGCCCGGGGTTAACCTTCTTGCTTTTTTTTATTTTTCCCAAAGCTCTTTTCCCCACTGAGCTCAAAATGTACTTTCTAGAAAATGCCCTTGAAGTCATAATGGCTGCTTCAGACTGAAGCCAAAAATGCATGTTGTGTTCCACTTTATTTCCACGTAGGAGCTGGAAGACTATTTTTACTATTCTCAGCTCCGTAGTCAAGGTATCGATACAATGGAGACCAGAAAGGTGTCGGAACACATCTGTCTGTCGGAGCTTCCTTTTGTCATGAGAGCAATTGGCTTTTACCCATCGGAAGGGAAGGTAGGTAGAAGGAAAACAAGCGCAGGCAGGACGTGTTATTTATTAAAAAAACGACCTCAGGGAGCTGTCATCACAGGCCAAAGTAAAAATCTAACACCATTCTTACATAAATGGATCAGAAAGGAGGTTCTGGGCATAGCTGAGGCATTGCTTAGAAACAGACTTACCGTAAAGATACCCCTGTCAGGCAGATTCCTTGCCAGAGTTTGATGTGGTTGGTAAGAGCATGCGTGCCTGTTCAGTCGTTTCAGTCACGTCCAACTCTCTGCAACCTCATGGACTGTAGCCCGCCAGGCTTCTCTGTCCATGGGGATTCTCCAGGCAAGAATACTGGAGTGGGTTGCCATGCCCTCCTCCAGGGGATCTTCCTGATCCAGGGATCGAGCCTGTGTCTCTTACCTCCTCCTGCATTGGCAGGCGGGTTCTTTACCACTAGCGCCACCTTTCCGGAATTAGGCAGAAGGCCCCTCGAGGCGTGAGGACCGGCCTCATGGGGTTCAGGGAGGTTACGCCTGCACAGCGCTTGGCACAGCGTAGGCTGCATAAAAAGATCTCGGTAGATGCTGACTGTTGTGATCCTTTCCCTGTGTAGCTGCGGTTCACCTGGCCTGTGTGAACGGGCTGCTCTTGAGGTGGCTGCTCATCCCGGGCTGGGGATGGAGCTCAGGAGATACAGCCCCTCCTTGGCACCTCACATCTCACCCCCAAATGCAAGGGGCTCCCAACAAGGACCAGAGGAAGTGGTCCTCATGGAAACTGTGGCTTAAAATGCAACTGATTGGAATATCCCTGGCAGTCCAGTGGTTAAGACTCCACACTGCCACTGCAGAGGGCTTGAGTTCCATCGCCCGGGGAACTAAGATACTGCATGCCGCAAGGAACAGCAAAAAAAAAAAAGCAACTGACTGGGTTTTCTTTCTGACTTAAAATACTAGCACATTCTCATTGTAGAAAGTTTGGAAAAAATACACAAGTGAAATGAAGAACATAATTACTTGTAATTCCACTACACTGAGACTTCAGTTATTGGTATCTTCCTGGATTGATTTATATATAATGCACGTACATATAATTTTTAAAAACTAATGGGTACCATATTGGATATATAATTTCATCCTATATTTTCACTTGGTATTGTCATACACATTTCCCATTTCATTAACAGTTCTCTGAAAACTTGATTTTTTAAAGGATATAGCTTAATTTTATAACTTTGATTTAGAAAATAGAACTGTAAAGAAGAAACAAGAAATGACTGAGAGGTAGTCATTATTAACATTTTGGTGGACTTCCTTCTATAATTTTCTGTTTGGATATAGATATATAAATTTTTAAACAAAGAATTGTTGCTATATGGTGTATATATGTATATATCAGCAAATGCATGCATGCTTAGTCACTCAGTCATGAATTAGTCATGTCTGATTCTTTTCAACCCCATGGATTGCAGCCCACCAGTCTCCTCTGTCCATGGGGATTCTCCAGGCAAGAATACTGGAGTAGGTGGCCATGTCCTCCTCCAGGGGATCTTCCCAACCCAGGGACTGAACCCAGGTCTCCTGCATTGCAGGAGGATTCTTTACCATCTGAGCCACCAGAGAAGTCATATATCTCAGCATTTTACAGAGTATGTGTATATGTTTATGTGTACAGCAGCAGTCTCAGTAACTCTTGTTTTGTGAGCATGTGGTGAAAATTACTTGGTAATGTGATCTGGTTTTACGAAGATCTGATTGACATAACATTGTGTTCATTTAAAGTATTCAGTATAGTGATTTTATATACATATATATTATAAAATGATCACTACCACTCAGTTAAGTAACATATCACATCCATCACCTTGCAGAGTTACAATTTTTTTGTGTATGGTAAGAATTTTAAAATCTGCTATTTTAGCAACTTTCAAATATACAGTACTGTGTGGTTTTTTAAAATTTATTTATATATTTATTTGGCTTCTCTGGGTCTTAGTGGCATGTGGGATCTTTAGTTGCAGCATGTGGGATCTGGCTCCCTGACCAGGGTTGAAACCGTGTCCTCTGCATTGAAGGTGGATTCTTAACCACGGGACCACCGGGGAAGTCCTTTGTATTAACTGGAGTCCTTATGTTGTACCGTCTAACCCCAGGACTTGTTTATACCTGGGAGTTTATATCCTTTAACCACTTTTCACCCATTTCTCCTACTCTCCACCTTCTTCCCCTGGCAACTGCTAATCTGTCTTCTGTTTCCAAGTTTGATTTTGTTTTATTTTTTTCAGATTTCACATACAATTTGAGATCATACAGTGTTTGTCTTCCTCTGTTTGACATTTCACTCAGCATAATGCCCTCAAGGTCCATCCACATTGTCATAAATGGCAAGAATTCCCTCTTCTCTACGGCGGGATAATATTCCAGTAATGTTCCATCATGTACACAGACACAACCCGTATTTTCTTTATGCATTTCCACCAAAAATGCACAAGAATTCCCATTTAACTTCAAATCCTTGTGAGCATTGGTTTTCTCTTTTTTTAATAAAAGTCGTTCTGACAGATACAAGGTGATAACTCATTGTGCTTCTGATTTGCATTTTCCTAATGGTTAATGATGTGAGCATCTTTTCATGTACTTGATGATCATTTGAATATCTTCTTTAGAAAGATATCCCCTCGGGTCTTCTTCCTATTTTTAAAATGGGTTATTGGTTTTTTTGCTATTGGTTGTGAGTCCCTTATGTATTTTAGGTGTCAACCCCTTATCAGATGTGTGATTTGAAACTATTCTCTCCTATTCCATAGGTTGCTTTTTCATTTTGTCAATCATCTCTTCTCCTGTGCATAAGCTTTTTGGTCTGCTATAGACAACATGCTTTCTTAAGTCCATATAGTCAGTTGATCCATTCCTCAGTTGATAACACATAGGTTGTGTGAAGTATTTAGGCTGTCAGAGACATGGCTGTGATGAACATCTCTGCATATGGTTTCTGTACTTCTCTGACTGTTTGCTGGGTCAAAGTCCTAGAAATAGAATTACCAGATCAGATAATATTACCAGAATTACCAGATCAGAACTTTAAGGCCCAGTTGCCAATAGTTTTACAGAAATGTAGCCTTTTACAGCTCACCCTAAAGCACACATAGCTCCTGAAACCCAGCTGAGACTCGATGTTCACCTTAGGTGTCTGAGCACAGTTCAGTGATATGAGCTTTTACCCTGGTCATTTCCCTTGGCCTCAGTGGCCTCCCCAGAGTCACCTCTTTTTTGACGTCTGAAAGTATGACTAGTAGGTGACTTTTATTCTCCACATAGAGTCTGGAGAAATGAACTTTCAGAGCCTGTAAACCCAAGTTGAGTCTTTAATGAGCAACTTAAAAACACCTGAGACTCTTTTAATCTCCTTTAAAGTCTTTTGACCAATATGCATTCTGTAAAAGTATGTGGCCAGAAATGGAAACAACTATCCAGAAAGTTTGTGCAACCCACATAGAAGTGTTCTTTAAGAGCTGTGTTTCTAAAGTGTATTGCCTAGAACCCTATTTCTTAAGCTGGCAAGCTGCAATAGAATCACCTGGAGCACTTAACTAAAAAATCAGAGTCCCTGGCCCCATCCCAGATATAGCCAATCAGAATCTCCATGGAACCTAAGGGTCTGCACTTTCCTTTTTTAAAAAATATTTTTCTCCTCCTTCTTCTGTTTGCCTATTATTATTTTTAAAAAACATTTATTTATGTATTTCACTGTATAGGGAGGGTCTTAGTTGTGGCACAAGGGATCTTTATTTGCTTCATGAGAACTCTTAGTTGTATGTGGGATCTAGTTCCCTGACCAGGGATCAAACCTGCAAGGTGGATTCTTTTTATATATATATATAAAATTTAATTAATTTACTTAGTTTTGACTGTGCTGGGTCTTCGTGGCTGTGTGCAGGCCTTTTTCTAGTTGTGGTGCGTACACTTCTTGTTGCAGTGTCTTCTCTTATTGAGGAGCACGGGCCCTAGGGTACATGGGCTTCAGTAGTTACCGCACGTGGGCTCAGTACTTGCAGCTCTCAGGTTCTAGAGCACTGGTACAGTACTTGTGACATGCACGGGCTCAGTTGCTCCACGCATGTGGGATCCTCTTGGATCAGGGATCAAACCCATGTCCCCTGCGTTGGCAGGTGGACTCTTTTAACTACTGGACCACCAGGGAAGTCCCTGTCACTCAGGATTCTTGATTTTAAACCCTGGGCTCAAGTAAATGCGTCCTCTGCAGTACTGTTTTGTCAAGAAGTGAATTCTGGGTGTTTAACCTTTGTGACTGTCACCCACCTGCCACGCAAAGTCTCAAGGGTGGCACAGAGTGACTGCGGTTTTTCTGCTTTCTCTGGGAGTAAGAGGTGTAATCCCTGAAGGCTCACTCCATGGTCCTATCTTTGGGCAAAAATAATAAAGCTTAATCACCTATCGAAATTTTTGCTGATGAGTAAAACGTACCCAGAGGGAATTCCCCGGTGGCCCAGTTAGGTTAGGACTGTACACTTCTGCTGCTGACAGCCTAGGCTTCTATTCGTGGTCAAGGAACTAAGTTCCTACAAGCCTCATGATGTGCACATCCCCCAAAAAAATACCCGGAAAAAAAGGTTAGCCTGCCACAAATGTTATAAAGTGATACTGAATATTATTTACCCACACAGAAACAAAAATAAATGAAAATGGTCACTGCCAGGTTGTCACTGGCTCTTGCATGAGTCCCCCACCCCAGCTGCCACAAAAGGGGTTCTGGTGTCCCAGTGTCTTCATAAATGCCCTAGACTCCAGGGTTTTTCATCCACTTAAAAAACACGTTTACTCTTTGGAGATGTTCTCTGAAGGCCCCCGATCCAGATGTGTTCATTGAGGAACGCGTTTATTGCTGAAGCTCCTCGGGGAGAAGTTTTTGATCTCTTGTTCTCATCAGATTTATAGCGATTTTAATAAAAAATGTTTTGGGGGCTTTGAAACTTTCAGACCCAGACTTTGCCGTGGTTCATG